TGCTTGATATATTATCAACTTCTCACCACTACTTCTCTGGGAAGTGAATAGGGACAACAAATGAGAATTCAAATTTTGATCTTAGGGTTAAAGGGTTAACCTGATGTTCCTCCAATAAAGATAACTGAGTGCTAACTTTTCTGGTGAAAAAATATACAAATAGGTGTCTATTTTTTGACAACATTATGCGAAAGTACTTAAAAGCAAATCTCGTACTCGTTGTTGATCTTGTCCTCGAATCTAAAGGTCTCCATTAATTGCACCCATGCACCCTCTGCTTATTATCTGTATTGTACATTTAAAGATTATTAGTTGATTTTAGGTCATTGTTAAAGAAACTGTGTCATGATATTTAGCAAAACTCAAACAGTGAGAGTGGCCACCAGATTAGATTAAGCTTAAAAATAACGGCTCAAAACATCAAAGAAGTTATAAATAACAGCAAATTCAAAAGAAGGCACTGGTGACAAATTTAAGACGGATTGAAACAAAAATATTTCAGTTTTTGAAAGCTTGTTAGCCTAACAATTTTGCTGTCAAAGCTCATGTTTGATGTTTGTAGCGTTTGATATCATATAATGCCTTGAGAGCTATATTTGTTTGATATAAAGCTATGAATTTGTCATTTACAAGTAAATTCCTTGCTAACGTCAAGTTCCTTAACGAATAAAGGACGCGTTACATGCAAAATTATCTCAATGAACTTGACAGCCCTGACACAGTCCCTCTGACACCAAGTAAAGGGGTTTACGGTCATCTCGCCACCAACGACATCAAAATAAATCGACTGTGTACTCACCTGGGACTACTTAGCATTTTCTACTTCTTCGCCAAGCTTATTCGAGTTGATGGCGGCGAATTGACTTCTCAGTGGCGACTTTGTTGATGGCGAGATGACCGGTTACCAGTATCGGTAGTGATAAGAGAACGAATTGTGAAATTGGTTAAGGAGAGAAGGGTGCAATATTGAAGTTAGATTGTTGAGAAAGTTGGCCTCCTTGATGGTTATGGCTGAGACAAAAGATCTGCCATCGGCATACAACTGCGGAGAATCAACCTTTGGGCTAATTAATAGGTTTTCATAAGGCTTCTGATGGGAAAACAAGGTCTTAAATTAACAGCTTAAGCCCAAGCAGTTTCTCGGAGTTTTGGGCGACCAAAGTAAAGCAAAATCTTGCCTTTGGAAGGGATTTTATTTTATTTTTTTCAAGTATATTTTTCTCTAACCCTTTATAGCAGAGAGGACAGTAGAAATGTGTAATGGATTTTAAAATATTTTCCTAGGATGTTAATTATTTTTAACTAATTGTTATATTTTCAAATTTTGTTGCAAATGTGATCCGCGATCAACTTACCATAAATGACCTAATAAACGTCTTGGGCGTCTATTTAAGTTTAGGGGTCCAAGACGGGGCGTGATTAGATAGGGGGCGTTTAAAAGAGAGGCCGGCGTTTATTCGCATAACTGTAACGAGCTCAACCAAACGAATAAGCTTTGGACGAAAATATTAAGAGAGTTTAAAAACAGCGGAATATCCACTCCATCAATTGATATGTCTGGGCCGTCTAGAGATCCATATCTCTCTTTGAAATCCCAACATCGTTGTCAGAATCCTCGCTCAGGGTTATTGTGTTGCCGTCGTTCAGTCTATCCTTACCTTTAACTTGATATTGCTCAAGATTAAATGCGCAAAGCCTTGTTAACCAAGGAAGAAACGGAATGAATTGAATGATTTTGCTTAATCCTAGTATTTTGGAGTAATTCTCATAGGGGGGCGTCTATTACAGAAGGGCGTCCAATGCAATTTTAACAGCATAGAGGGGACGTTAATTAGATGAGAGGCGTGTATTTGGAAGTGGGCATTTATTTGGTCATTTACGGTAAGCTTATTACATATTATGGTAGAACTTATTTACAACCGATATATTTTTAGTATATGTAATATAATAAGTTTGAACAGAAAACCCGGTTTTTAAATAGAGTTTATTAAATCGATAAGATAGGGACTTTCTTGTAAGAGTAGCCTGCGTAGCTAGCGCCTTTTTTTCTTTTTTTTTTCCGTGCGGTCTCGTTGGCCAAAACTAAAAATCCCGTTCCTCGGTCATTCTTTGCTCCGAAACCACACGGAAACGCTTGCTACGCAGGCTATTGAAAGAGCTGTCAGGCTACGCGTGTATATGCCCATAAGCTTTCATTTTTAAAGAAAATTTAATAAACTTAAAAAAAAAAAAAAAAAAAGTGTTGCGTTAATGTCCTTTTCTCACATTTGCGTGTTAAGATCGCGAAAATAAAACCCCGCGAAATATTCTCTCGCCAAAATCGCGAAATTAAATACTTGCGAAATTTTAAATTAGTAACAATAAGGTATTAAAGGCCTTTTACGCTCATATTTACAGAGACAAAAATCTGCAATTTACCCCACCCCCCACCTTCCCCAGCCACTAAGCGAGACGACGAACGAGCATCCCTTGCGAGTCCCTCCGCCGCAAGGGTACAGTCCATTACTATTATATGATGGCGTATTTCATTTTGTTAACTGATACATGACAGGGTTACTTACACTTGCGCAAGATGGCGGGCAAAGGGCAAGTAGATCTTGAAATGCAGAAATTTATATTAGCAGAACAAGAAAAAGCCAAGTTTCAGGGCCTTGTTCATAACTTAACCGATACTTGTTGGGATAGGTGTGTTGAAAAAATAGGATCAAAGCTGGATTCCAGGACAGAAACGTGTCTTGTGAACTGCGTGGAAAGGTTCATAGATGCTTCAAACTTTGTTGCTAATCGCTTTGCACAGATCGGTCAAAATTGATTCTTCGATGCCTAATTTATACTACTTATGAGGGAATCTAGCGTCTGGGAATGAGATATTTGTATTCGTTCGAAAAACTAGCATAAACACATCAAAACAACATTTATGGCCAGCTGGTCGATGAAGGACTGGGAAGCAACTGAACTTCAGGAGTTGATAAATATTCAAGTTTCGATCCTTGATTGTTCATCACCTTGACAATTTTTGGAATGCTGCACGCCGAGAACAGTTTAGAAAAGAATCAAATAATCACTGTTTAGTGGTCTATTTCAACTGTGGTGTCACTGACTAACCTGATTCATCTCTCAACGGTAAAGGCTTAATCCGTCAGTTATCTCATTTCCTCATCAGAAGGCTTATACCAACATCTCATCTTCAAAGACTGTAAAGTGCTTGTTACCTCCTCCATAATTATTATTGTGAGCTACAGAGAAAGTAACTGAAATGATGAATATATGAATTTCAAGAAGATGACTGTTAAGCAAATATTACTGTCAAGCCAGGTGGCTATCCTTACTTTTGGGGAACATTGTTTTTTTCGTTGCATTATACTTGTCATTTTGCTTGCACTTGTTTTCCTCTGTAGAGTGACAGTCCCCTAAAAGTAATGAAAGCCAGCCGGGTCAAGTGTACCCTATCCACCAAGATTCCATTATTAGATTGTTGAATCTGTTGGTAGTTGCCTGGGGGGTGGGGGGTACTCCCTATGATAGCCTATACGGGGGGGCTCCACCCGAAAGAAGTATCTTTTTCAGGCTTCAGGTATATGAAAGGGTAGGGATTTCACTAGTTGGAGTATATAAAAGGGGAGGGAAATCTGTCATTTGGGTCTGTGAAGGGCCCAGAAGGGCTTGCAGATGAATTTTATGGCTTTGTAAAGTCGAAAAAATGTTCTATTGTTGTGATTGATTCCTATGTAAAAGACAGTGCATTTACAGCAGTTAAAAGGGATACAAAGTTCTAAACAAGGTATGTGAAAGGGGTACCATTTTTCAATAGAAGGTGTACGAAAGGGGTACTTTTTTTGTGAAAAATGGTACAGTGATATAAAAGGGTAAGGGGTTGGACCTCGGGGCGGAGCCTCCCCGTACAAACATTTTTTGAGTACCTCCCTCCCCCTGGGGTAGTTGTAGATTTCAGATTTATCTCTGCACTCCTGCATGCGAAATGAGCAGTGAATTCACACGTGAGGTAGTTACGAAATTTCTACCCACTCAGTTTTCTTGAATTTGATGTAAATGTCTTTAAATTTATTTTATCCATTCAAAGCGTTTTCAAGGTGACCAAATACAGATAGATTATTGTTAGAAAATTTACTGTTCATTATGTATAAAGGAATGCAGATTTGAATTTGATAATGATTGTAGCAACAACTAACAGATTCATTTTTCAGGTAATTGATCCTTAGTGACATAGATGAGGGTACGTCTTGACTTGGCATGAATGATTGTAACTATTAAGCAAATATGGTTAATAACTCTCTCTTAAGAGATACCTCTACAAGATATAAATCTCACCAAAGTGGACATCCAGAGCCCTGGGATGGGGGGCGTCAAGGGAGGTTTTGGTAGAGGTGTACTGCTGCTAAGGATTTCAATTCCTGACCTCGTTTAAGACAAAAATGTACCACGAATGTAAGACAAAGTTAAATTTAGCAAGGGGCACACATACACCAACCCTCAGCCTGGCCAGCACCTCACACAAACTTAAAACAAAGGAAACACATACACCAACCAAAAGGGCAAAACAACTGTCCATGGCTGCCCCTGCCTGGGTGATATGGCTGTGCGCATGTGTGAGGTACTGGCCAGTCCGTGGGATGGCGTATGTGTGCCAGTTGCTTTAAGTTTGTCTTATTGAATTTACTGGCACACAAATCAGGGTAACTCCTGATATGCCTTCCCCGCGCATGCTGTGGGAGGACTGCGATGTGGTTCCCAGCCAATAGCTCCCACATGTATTGTGTGGAGCTGGCGCTTGAAGGAGTGCTTTGCACTCGCCTTGGCAGAAAAGTGTCTTTGAGACACAGGTTCTCCCTGTTCATTGAACCGACAGCTATGCCATGCTGATGAGCCCCAGAAAGGGCGAAACAGCTATCCATGGCTACCACGTTGTGGGTGATATGGCTGTGCGCATGTGTGAGGTACTGGCCAGGCCGTGGGATGGTGTATGTGTGCCTCCTTCTTTAACTTTGTCTCACCACAAATGTAGACCCCTCATCACCAACCTTCACGGTCATTTAAAGGCTTCTGAGCAAATGGTCACCCTGTTGTGAAATTGTATACCCTGTTTTTAAAGACTCAAGACCATGAACACCATATCCTGTTGCATTGCACATACCCATTTAGCTCAATTAAGGGAGTGCCCCACCACCTCAGGACCCAGAGTCAGGCATTCTCTGGTCATCTCCTTTCTACAAAGCAGACGCCACTTGAAAGATGTGGTGGCTGTCTTAGGTACCATCTTTTTGGTTCCCATCGTTGTATTAAGGAGATTCATGCCTTTAGCATGATTTCACTGCATGTGCACAAATCTCAGTGGGCAAGGGGTGGGGGGAATGCCCAAGAAAGTTATTGTTGGGAAGGTTCCACCCCGAGGACCAACCGCTTACCCTTTTATATATCATTTTGGATAGAAAAGTTACCCATTTCTTATACATTTAATTGAAAAAGGTACCCCTTTTGCATACATAGTTTAGAACTTGGCATCCCTTTCAACTGCAGCTGTAAAAGCACTTAAAATAGGAATATTATAAAATCACAAAACCAGAATGTGTTCTTGAGCAGTTCCCGTTTGGTCTCGTTACAAACCAAAATAAAAGATTTCCCCGCCCTTTCAGGTACTTCAACTAGTAAAATCCTTACCCTTTCTTAAAAAGGTACCCCTTTCAGGCAGAGCCTTCCTGTACAGGCCATTATTGGGGGAACACCATTTTTAGGGCTCCGAATTTTTGGCATGGATTCTTTGTGGGTTAATGTTGTTGAAGGCCTAAATGTAATAAACGGTCCTAAATGTAATAAAGTCATAAATGTAATAACATTTTGTCCTAAATGTAATAAAGTCCTAAATGTAATAACAATTTGCCCTAAATGTAATAAACTCTTAAGCTGCCAATAACAGTAATTACTCGAATAAGCCCCGCCCTCAAATAAGCGCCGCATTTGGGGCGTGGGGGAGTTAATTAGCGCCGCAGCACTTATTCGAGTAAATAGGGTACTAAGCGGTATTGCTATGGTATTAAGCTCCGCTCTCAAATAAGCGCCGCGGCGCTAATTCGCGTAAATTCTGTACATTTCCTTATGCACTGTGAATATTAATGTTTACAAATAATTTGCTTGTAAACGGCAAAGTAACATTATTTTTGTAAAAAACCAATATTTAAGCAATAGAAAACTTTTTTTCCTGTGTTTGCATAGCCTGATGTAAACACTAGAACACTAGAGGGGTTGGGAGAAATCGAGACAGTTATGCAAACCCTCGACGTCGTCTCAGGTTTGCATAACTGTCAAAATCGGATAAAGAATAAAGTCCTAAATGTAATAACATTTGGCCCTAAATGTAATAAACTCTTAAGATACTAATTACCGTATTTATGCGAATAAGCATCCCTCTAAAACAAGCGCAGCAATTGGTAAAGACGGTACATTACCAATTACCATATTTACACGTATAAGGGCCGCCCTCAAATAAGCACCACCATTGGGAGAAAAAAGTAAATGGACGTCGCGGCCCTCATTCGAGGAAAACAGTACTGATATATTTTCTTAATATGCAACGCTGAACTTCTCGTTTATGAATAAATTTCTTCAAAGTGACACATAACAGTTTCTTCATCTATTAAGTATACTTATACATTCATTCATTCATTTTATTAGTTAATCCATATTGTTTACAATTATGTAAAACATAACAAGTAACAAAAATGAATTATTGTACCTTTCCACAACGGCCACCTTGGGGACAGGAAGAAAGTGGCCACGGGGAAAGTAGGGGAAAAATAGGAAAAATAGGAAAAAAGGAAAGGAAAGGAATAGCAACATTAACGAGCTCCACTGTAAGTCTCACTGTAAGAGAATCAAAAGAGCTGTTAATGCTTTTATACAGATATGATGTTGACCTTGTGTCGTTACATAAGTTTTTAAGGAAGCCCTACCTTTGTTTGCGTTTGTTGCTGTTGGAAAAAGATGACAACAGTGACAAGGCAGAAGAGGAAATAGAAGAAGAATTGAAGAGAACTTCTGAAATAAGAAGCCTTGCTATAAAGGAATCAACAGAATTGTTTTTGATGTTGGAATGCTTATTCGCAACAGGCTCCTGACTTAATAATTACATAGTTTTTAAGTTTCACAGTTCATAAGAAAATGTACAGAATTTACGCGAATTAGCGCCGCGGCGCCTATTAACTTTTTTCTCCAAAAATGCGGCGCTTATTTGAGAGCGGAGCTTAATACCATAGCAATACCGCTTAGTACCGTATTTACTCGAATAAGCGCCGCGGCGCTAATTAACTCCCCCACGCCCCAAATGCGGCGCTTATTTGAGGGCGGGGCTTATTCGAGTAATTACTGTGATTGGCAGCTTAAGAGTTTATTACTTTTAGGACAAATTGTCATTACATTTAGGACTTTATTACATTTACGACAAAATGTTATTACATTTAGGACCGTTTATTACATTTAGGCCTTCTACAAATGTCTTGTCCATTTATTTTTTTTGGGTTTAGATTTTTGCTCCCATTCAAACATCCCTGTCACTTGAAATACGGAGTACCCCTCCCCTAATCTCGTACCCAGATCTCCCACGTAAGACAGAGTGAGATCTGGGTACGAGATTACCCCTCCCCCTACCTAACCCCCTACCTCCCTAGGGTAACAATTTAACAAATTCATACTTTCCGCATGATGGATCTCATCTCACTCATGTTATCAGCCGAGGCCCCCTGGGGTAATAATTTAAGAAATTCGTGCTTTCCTCATGATGCATCTCATCCCCGGGGGGGTACTTGGGCTAATATTTGCTGGGTATGTGCCACTGGCCTCTAAGAGCCCCTACCCCATTATAGTCTAATTTTTGGCCAATTATAGACCCTTAGTCACTTTTTGGAAAATGTAATTTTCACGATCCCAACTTAGTCAATTTCTATTTATGCATCTGCCTCATCAATGTGGTTTCAAGCGGTGAAATGTAATGCGGTCAATGCCAGCTTATTGTTAAATTAATAAACAACAACTTCCTGATTTTTTAACCGAGAATCTTCCCTTTTGAATCCCTACTTACCCCAAAAAATCCGAAAATTTGCGACCCCATTCTGATAAATCTATTGAAAATGCGTCCCCCCCATTAGAGTCACTCCAGTCGTGAAAATGCGACCCCATCCAGCGGCATATCCCTATTAGCTTCTTGTATTAAAGGGAGTATTCCTCCCCCCCCCAACCCCCCGATCTCATATCACTCATGTTATCAGCCGAGGCTGGAAACGCAAAATAAATAAAGCTTCCAAAGGTATGTACTAGTTTCACATTGTTAAAGGACATACATGTATGGACAGCTTTCCCAAAAATGATTTGTTTTTGGTAAACAAAATTCCGTGACCAAACGTGACAGCCGATAACGCGCCGTTGGGAAACTGGGAGTGAGGAACATGGTGACGTATTAGTTTGTTTGATTGGAACCGTCAATATGGCCGCCAAACGATGGCCAGATTTCTCTGGCATATTTAGTGTGTTCTTCCTAAGCGAATTAGGCTGAACTGAGACGATATGACAACACAAAATCAGCCCCAGAAGAAGGTAGGAGATTTAAAATTCATTATTCTTAAAACAATGTCCGTGGTGAAAACTTAATTTGTACGTTTATTGGTCTACCATGAAACTAGGTCAAAATTTTACAACTTCTTCGAACAATTCAAGCCGAGCAGCTATCGAAACTGCAGCAAAAGTTCCAGCTTGAACAGGACCTTCTAGAAGATGTTAGGTACGAGACATTTTTTCCGTTTTGTTTTGTAATTTAGGCCAGGAAATGATCGAGAACAATGTGAAATTGTACCGTTTTATTTTGTTTAGAACCTACACGAAACAGAGATCGGCAATCGAGCGGGAATATTCCCAGGTAGGTTTTCTTATGTGTTACAAATGGAATAGCTTCTTGCCCGTCTTTGAGAATCTTCTATCAAACTTTTCCTCGAAACTAAACGGTCTGTGGTTTTGTTTGACCAATTAAAGATGATGATAAAATTTTTCGCTCATAAATTAATTAATCAAGCTAAGTTTTCATAAACTTAAATTGCTAGCATGCCTCCACACTTTTTTTTGTACATTTCAAAACAATGGAAGCCTCTTTTTTGCTAACAAAACACCTATCTCCTTTAGGTCGTTGTCTAATAAGCTAGTCTTCCCAAAAGAAACCAACATTTATTTCCTTAGTGTTCACAGATTTTGTTTGCTAAAAAGTATAGAATTTTGCATAATATTACTCGGGGCGACGTATGGAATTATTTCATAATAAAATCTACATCAATATAATCATTCTAATTCGTTCTAGTAAGTGATCGTTGTTAAAATTGTCCGAGTTCTTTTAAGTACACGCAAGTCGCTGTGGTATGTATGGATAGTTGTAATATTTGATATTGTTTAACTTGTAACAAAAGGAAATATTTTCAGTTTATGCTGGTAATTTTTAATTTTAAGCTTAACGTGTACCAAGTTGTTTCTTTCTACTGTTATTTTCAGTTTCACTGCCTTGCAAAGCTGTGCCAATTTTTAATATCATGATACGTGACTAATTTTGTGGTATTTATGATACTGGTTGCTCTGCAATAATGTATAATTAGGACAATCTTTTTTTTCTGGAAATATGTATCTATTGCTTCATTTGCCACAGACTTGATATATACTTCCTTCATGATTAATTTTAACTCTGGCACAATGGTTGAATTGAAGTTGTGCTTCTGTTAAACTCATAATATTATCAGACCTGGCAGCCCATGATAGAGGAAAATCAGGATACACATGAAAAAATATCAGGAGATTCTACAAAAATGAGTGAGATTCTATTTCTCCTGATCAAGGTTAAACGGACCCTCTTTTCCATTAGGGGTATTAACTGTTAAGTTTAAATATAACCCGGCTTCAGTGGCATCCCTCTTGTAACAAATTAGATGAGCTGCTGCTTTTTCTTTTAAGAAGCTAGAGAGTAGGTCATCACTGAGACGAAACTTACGGCAAAGAGTCCTTTCTTCTGGATAAGCCAGCTTCATGGCTAAAATGTCAGTCAAAGTCCCATCAAGTCTTAAACAGGCCCAATCAGTTCTAATTAAATTTCAGCGTTTTTTTCTTCAACAACATAACATTTCATTGCAGAATGATATTTCCCCAAAAAACTGTGATGGGAGTCTTGTTGTAATGCTGTAAGAAAAATTAAAAAATCGTTAAACTCACAGCAGAATCGTGCGAGTTGGCCGGTCTGTATTATTATTGATTTCGGCATGTCACAACCTTCCCTCTCCTTCACTTTCTTAAATAGTAATGCTATCACAAGGAGAGCCTTATTTTCACTTGTTTACACTGAGGCCTTATGGCAGAGAGCGAAAACAAGTATCAGAAAATTATGTAGTGTTTCCAGTAGGTGGTATTAATTTTATGGCTTAGAATAATAATAGTATCTTCAGTACACAAATTATCGCATTTCATTTTGTAGATTTGGAATATATCATCAGAATACCTACTCTCTTAAGATTTACAAAACTATGCACTTATAAATGCTCTGCATGCCATGTTTCTGAAGCAAAATAGCTGTAAATTAGGCAATCCACCTGTGTCTTCAGATTTCTTCAAGTACCAGTAGATGTCTACTTCATAATTAACCAGCTTTGGTAGAATTTAATGTTACATACATTGTAATATTTCAGGTTGTAAAGCCTGATTGTTTATTTTTTTACCTTCTTGACCCCTTCAAGGCATTGCAAAAACTTAATTCCCAGTTTCTTCAAAAGAAAGAACTAGAAGAATCAGCTGGTGGAGAAAGTGGAAGCAGGTAATATTGGATAACCTTGTTTGATTTTTAAATGGTAAATGATTTTATTTTCAAGTTGATTTGCGAGATTCAATGAGGATGTCACTAAAAGCCAGCTGCCAGCTAACTTCACCAGCTAAAAAAAAGCCTACCACCGGCTGATATTGCAAAGGAAAATAAAGACGGGGGGAAATTCTGAAGATGTGGAATTGATTAAAAAACCTGGTTTGAATGATAAAAAGCCTTCTTACCTTTTTCTTAGCAACATCCCTGGTTCAAGTTGTTTCTCTAAGTTGTTACTAAAAGCTTCAAAAACCTCCTGGGCTTTCAATGAAAGGGGAATTTTTTAGAACCATGTTATTCACCGGGTATAGTAAAATTCATTAATTAAAGCTAATATGTTTTAGGCGAAAGCCTGATGTTAATCAGTAGTCTCAAGGGACCTTAGATTAATTGCCACATTTTCCTTTCAATTCTCCTTGTCGTGAATTAGAGATGAGAATTTGACGTTAAATCAGGACTCATCTTAGACTGCAAAACAGTCAGGTTTTTTTTTCTCAAAATCGGTTTAGCGTAGTGAGAGAGTCTCATGTGCGTGAAATGAGCCTCACATGCCTGTAGGGCTTGCTCTCCTTTTTCAGCCTCGCTCCAGACCTTTTGCCTGACTGTTTGCGTGCACTTGAATACACAAAGATATGGACTGTTTTGCAGCCTAGACTCACTTAGCCTTGGCCCTCCATTTTATCTGCCTCAAAAGCATTCTTTCAGAGAAACATAACGCTAATTTCACTATGGAATGAAATAGTTATTTGTTGGCTTGAACTGCTGCCTGGTTAGCTGGTTAGCCCAGGCGGATAAGTGCCAGTCTCCTGAGTGGGATGTCATGGGTTCGAACCCCGGCCAGACCAAAACTCAGGGTCTTTAAAAAACTGAGAAGTAAGTGCTGCCTTTGTAATGACATCTGCAAACCATCCATGACTCCTTCCTTCCTTTTTCTTCCCTTTATAATTCAAGTCAAAATATAAGAAGGGTTTGTATCTGAAGTCATGAGCCTTCAATGCAGGCTTATTTTTTTTGCAGACAAATTTTTTCAGTGGGAGTGAAACTTCTTTGTTTATGTTTCTAACTCTATAAGTATAGTTTCCATCTTGATTCTTTAACTGAGGACCCATGGGGTACTCAATGAGGCAAAAAGAAGGAGTCAGTGGAGGCCCCTCCCACTTTCCTTAACTTCTCCACTTTTTTGCAAATCAATATAGCCATGGTTTTAACATGGTGATTTAACACAAACAAAAACACTCACACACCCAATAAAAATGCCTGCAATGCAGGCTATGGAGTCATCAGAGCATAAACATTCTAATATCTCACCACCAATTTTCACTCTGAAAAAGCTGGTTTTTGGCAAGGACGTAGTTTTAGTATTGCTGTATTAAAAGAAAAAAAAATCCCATAATGTATCAAATTTTAACATTTTGTGACTTCACACTTTTTTCCCTATTCCGGAACACATAAAATAATATTCTCACACCTTCGACTCCAACCTGCTGGTGTGGCATGGTGTTTGGTTACAATGGCCCTTTTATGCGAGAGGCATTAAAGCGGTCTTATGTCCAGTGTAAAAATGATAACTAAGACCGATGCATTTAATGTCTGATGATAGCATCTGAACAAGGCATTTAATTAACAGACACCTTTAACATTGTAGATCATGTTTCCACATGATTTCCAAGAATCTTTGTTCACATAGGTGAGCAAATTAGGTGATATGTGTTCACAGTTAACAATGGCCACCTTGGGGACAGAAGTAAGTGTCCATTATACTGGTATAAAAACAGGACGTTGTAAACTGTGATGTATATATGCAATGTTGTGTATTTTTGTTGTGTATTTTTTTCTGAAACTCTTTTTTTACAACGTTATCCTCTTCTTTTATGCATCTCATTTTTACACTGGTCCACTTAAACTTCTCATATGTTAAACATCTAGACAACTTTAACATCTCCACCTTAAAAAACAGCCATTGTTCTGAAGTGCAGTAAAAGATGTTAAATCTGAGTTTCCTTTTTACGCAGAACCCCTCAGGGTGTATGGAAATCTCTTCTTGATGAAGCTGAGAAGAAGGCTAAGCAGCGTCTGGCCATTTCAGAAGAACTCCAAGGACAAATGGGAGAGAGTATGAAAACTTTGAAATCAAACAGATCACAAGTTTATAAAAAGGTATATTAATTATCAGCAGTTGAACAAATTATTATATGTTGAAGCTGAAGCTACCTGTTTAATTGTTAATGATTGGCTTGTGAAGCTCAAACATGTGGTTTCTGTACGACCAATTAAGTGTGTCTTGTTAGTTCCCTGTAGCGCAAAAAAGCTTTTAGAAAATCTTGCTTTTTACCATAAGATGTCACCATGATGTTAATTTGAATTTGTAAGAAGAGATATTTTATGTCTTTTTCTTCTAGTGTGAAGAACTTACAAAGAAAATCCATGAGGAAGTGTTTGAGACAGTTCGTGAATTATCTAAGGTAATTGTAAGAAAACATTTAGACCATTCAGCTTTACCTCAGTTTAATTATAGGTTATTTGCAATGTAACATGAGGGCGGTTACCAGAAGCCTTCATTTGAATATTTTTTTGTTTTTCTCAGGCATACTGTTAGGTTTATTTGTAGTAATAACCTGCCAAGAATACTAGTCTTTAACAAATTATGAAAAAAAATTACTGTCTTTACTCTACTAGTAACTATGGTTACCATGAAAGAAGGTACATTTGTAACCATAAATGGCCAAAGTTAGCCTTGATTTTCTATGTTTCAATAAGGTTTCAAGTGATGTGCACCAGCAGACTGTGTACAGCATCATTTTTTTTTTCAAATTATACTTATTTGATTTATTTGGCAACTGACTTGATTTATGTAGCACCGAACCCCCTTATCCAGGATGGTGGCTTCAAAATTGAACCATTTAGCAGAACAATTTTTGACGTAAAAATAATTGATACTGGTTACTGTTTCAGGGGCGGATCTAGGGGGAGGGTGCAGGGGGTGCGCACCCCCCCCCCCCCAACTGGTATTCTGAAAAAAAAAAAAAAAAAAAAAAAAAAAAGCTATGTGGTTTATTGGTGTTGAAGTAGAGCAAGAGACTAGTGCACCTCCTCCTAAAAAAAATCCTGGATCCGCCCTTGTCTTTGTAGTCTGATCATTTAGTTGCGTGATTAAATTATGTGATTTTTCTTTTCAGGCCAAAAAAGGATACGAGGAAATGGAAAAGCTATCCCAGGCAGCACGGGAGCAAGCTGCTGATGCAGAGGACAAGTATGTACATGTTGTTTTGTGCTAATTTGTGTTGCGTGTGTGATTTTGTCTGCTGTGGTCTCAGAAGTGAAGTGTGGTTCTGATTGTTTCACCTAGACCATTTTTTATTCCACTGTGTTTGAACTTAATCATGGAACAGACAATCATAGTAGATTACATATCTATAGCTAGTGTGTATTGCAGTTGGTGTAGACAGTGTAATCAACACTTCATATGCCAAACAAAATTAAACTTGAATATTTTAGGCTGAAAAAGAAGAATGTCAAGTTTTTCCAGTCCAAGACATCACTAGAAAAGAATCTAAACAAGGTCAGTACACTGTACTAACTTTAATGTTGGAGATGGTATCTAATAATATTACTTTAAAAATAGCGTACAGTTTATACAAGCAAGAAATATCAGATCTCAGCACTTTCTGTCCATGTGGAAGACTCTAATATTACAAATTATTATAATTACATAAATTCTAATTCTGTTTACAGTACTTATTCTTGGTTTGCAACCTCGTGATAATTTGGCCATATTGGTTGAGAAAACAACTTTACAAGCTTAATTAGTTCCCATGAGAGGGTAGCCTGTGCCAGGCTCTCGGTCAGTGCAGATGAGTGAAAAAGGCGGGGGAGCAGTGGAAAAGCAAACGAGCAAAAAACGGCAGCAGAGAGAAGGGAAGAGCCTGTAAGCGTCTTTTCAAATACCTCAATTCCCCCACTATGTACCCCACCCAACTCCAGAAAACCGTTTATTTTGTCAAAAAGAGATGTCAAAATTCCAAAGTGTGCCTTGCAGGAGGGTTTCATGTGTTCGCTATGTTTGTTCTTTGTCTCTGCGTATGTGAAGTCAAGCGATTGGGGACTTCAAAATCCAACGATGCAACAGGAATAATAAACATCCCTAAAACACTGTGTGATGCATGTGTGAAGGTGCTGTTTAACTTATTAAAAAAGTTTTCCTTTTGTGTGTTTTTTTGACTTTCTCGCTGCGGTTGTGTCATTGGATCATAACGTCCCTATTGACATGGTTGATGTAAAATGTCAAAATTGACCAATCACACGGTATACCAGGAGCTGGTATACCGGAATGATGTATTGAAAACAATGCTTACAGGTTCCACTTACCCGTCTCCACAGCTCCACCAAGGTTTTTGCGCAAATTTTCTCGATGTGCTTTCCCCACTATCTTGGAGCCTAGAACAGGTTAAGGAGAGGGGGACACTTTTAATTTATTCTTCACTGTTTTGTAAGCTGTAACCCCACATTATCTTATCCTTTGTTAAAAAAGGTGCATACCGTACCAGTATTTTGGAATAACAGTAAGCTGACTGGTCATCGTCTCCTCTTTGACTCTTACAGGTTGAAAATGAAATCCCTGCATGCTCCATTATGATCCCATTAAGGTGGCCTCAAATTAAACAAGTGCCCTATTTTAGGGTATTTTTTGGATTTGCATTTACATTAAACATACATGCATATATAATGTATTTGTTGAATTTATAGCAATGTATGTGTTAACCTTTCACAGAGCTCTAGTAGGCGTGATGTTTGTGAAAGAAGGTCAGCAATGGCAAGAAATGATTACATAATGTCACTTGCTGCCGCTAATGCACATATGACGAGATATTACTGCAAGGAGATGCAAGACATCATGTCTGTAAGTTACTTACCACTCTTTAAAATTGCATACTCTTTTTGGTCAATAGATTTCCACTAAAGTAGTCTACAGTTCACAGCCTGTAAATCTCTTTTCTTTCTCTGTCTTTCTATCTTTATTTATTAAAGTCATTTATTAATTGTTATTTTATTTTATTACAATTATTATTATTATTATTATCATCATCATTATTATAATATGGTTTCTTTTCGAAAATTAACATTTGCTTGCTCTGCATGTATTTTTATATTAAATTCAATATATGTTTAAATAATTTACATATAAAATTCTACGTGTTGTGTAGCTTCAAATTAAAGCATGCTTTTGTACATGTATTTCTATTTAGACTCTAGATGGGGACTTTTTTGATCAGATGAGAGGCTACTTTGCCACCTTGGGTGAATTGGAAGTGGATGCCTGCAAAAATGCCAGAGCAGGATTTGAGAGTGTTGTTTCTCAAGCAAATACAGTAAGGATTATACCTTTAAACTCTAAAAGAGACCTTTAGATTCAAGGACAAGGGTGATCTATGGGATAAGATTTGACTTAAATAATTTTATCATGTATTCTTTAAATGTATGCACCCACAACCAATTTTCCTTTTTCTACCAGAAAAGTTAGCACTGTTATACTTGTTGAAGGAGGTAAAGACCTCTCCTGAGCTCGCAAAATGATAATAAAAACTTCTAAAATTTGATAACTTGTTTCAGTATCTATAGAATTTTTGCTAAAACCTGTACTAGAATGATGATGGATATCCCATTTTCCCGCCAAAATGTTGCTGATTCATGTGTGTGCACTACATAATATTGGGGCAATCTTGTCCTCATAGTGTTCCTCAGCTTAGAATCAAAAGGTCACTAATGTCAAACTAAGAAAACCGTAAATGCCTAGAAAAATTTTCCTTTTTGGGACTGATGATTATTTTTACAATTCCCAATAGAAATCAGAATACATTGGCAAACCATAAAACACCAAATTAATTACAATAATATTGCCACTGATGGTGGTTTAATTATGGCCTGGTAATTGTGAAGAAGAGCTTTGCCTGCCTGATGGACCCAACCCTCCAAGTTGAGAAAACACGCATGACCATTTTTTCTTCCGACGTGTTTAATTTTGAAATGCCATATATTATTCGGGCAATCAATGAAATCAGATTTAGAAAAATTTTCCTACAAGAAGCTGGCAACTTTATTTGTAAAAAAGTTCTCTATTTTTGCAGATTCAGACCTATTGGTCTTTCGATGACTTAATGTTAATCTTCTAAGTTGAATTATGTACCAAAAGAATTGGTCGCCAAATTGATGGTAACCACAGTGTTGGTTTAAAAAGTTTCTTTAACTTTTCTTGTCAATGTAGGGTTGGGACCATTGACATTCTGGAATAATCTCTAGCCTTGTGCTTTATTTGTAAAAAGTCTCCTAAACCAAAAGAATTGGTCGCCATCATTTAACTTTAAGGGTTGGGACCATTGACATTCTGGAATAATCTCTAGCCTTGTGCTCACGTGGCCATCATAGCTCAACAGCTCCAGCTGAACACAATCACTATGACACAATGCAGCGATGTTTAGTTCAAATAAAATTATTTAATGAAGGATAAAATACAGTACACAAAAGTATTATTAATGCACTGGTTGTTAATTTCTTTCAAGATTAACAGAGATGTGTCCCTTCAAGCTTTCCTGTTTAGAAACAAAGTCTTTTCAGAAGTTGTTCAATATGACTTTGAACCTTACAGACATGATACTGTAAGTACTATTTTTAGATGTAAATCGAATAATACATATTTTGGTTGCCAACATTCACGTACATGTAGGTAGGCTATAATTCACAGGCAGTTTCTGATAACTAGAGCCTTTCTTTTTAATTTTTTTTTGCATCAATTTTTAACTATCAGCAGGTGTATTTTGTTTTGGTATTCTTTTTGACTTGAATTGATGGAGAAGACAAATTTATTAAAAAAAAAAAATAGCAGCTGGACACAAATCAGGCTGTGCCTTAGGCATCCCGGTTGAAAAGTTGCTCGTCTCTTCTCTTGTTCACTTGCTGTCTTTCTTATAAATTTATTCATTTTCTGGTTAGGTAAGAAAAGTTACAACAGAACACAATGCTGGCCTGGCCTTGAATAAAGAAGCAAGAAAATTAGCAATGAAGCTTGCCAAGGATCAGATGAATATAAAGGCAAAAATGAAACTACTTCAAGGGGTATGTGTGTGCATATGCATGTTGTACTGTAGGTAACATCCTCTCGCAGGCTAAATCAGTGTTCAACCTTATTTGATTCAGAATTTTCGTTCGTTTCCTATCCCTACTTGTGTAATTTTGTGATGTGGAAATTTCATTAAAATGTTCAAAGATGCATGATGATTATTGTATGGCTGAGTGTGCAAGTAGGCAAGATGAAGTAAATCCGGTGCTCAGAACATTGGCCACCTGAGTGGGCAAGATGGGTGTGTCTTGCCCTCTCTGGGTTTCCCATGTTTGTCCAGCAAGAAAAAGTTATCTTTCTGGCTAATAATAAATCCTCATTTTGCCAAGCTTGTTCGGTCAAGATGGTTGGATATCGGCATTGCTCTGTTTTGCCTTTATTATTGAAATTACTTCTTCACTTTCATAAAAAAGCAAAAAAGAACATGCAAAAATAATTGCATCCAATACATGTATCCAACCACTTCGACCTCATGTTTGGTCGATAACACATACTTATAGGATTGATTGGGCCTCTACATTGGCTTGTCTTCAGTCCTTTAGCTTCGTTCCAGGCTACTTAATGAGCAACTCAAGACCTATACAGTAATATATTTATAACAAACTCTACCTTTAAACTTGGTCTTTTGACTTCCTTAACCAGACTGAAGATTCACCAACAGCATCAGGAGATGCCACTCAGGATTCTGAGCAAAGTGCTGAGGCATTGAAAGAAAGCATAAGGCTGACTGAGGTTTGTTTGGTCGATATTGGAGTAACTTTATGTTGTGACTGTGACAAGTGTTCTAACTTCAACGAGTGTTGACGAGTGTTTCACAAGAGTGACTGTGACTATTCTAATTAATTCATTGCTTAAAGGATACTACTTAAAATAGATGGAGTTTTTTGGTTGTATTATCATTTTGTTCACTTTCTGTTGTATCCTTGTTTTAATAGAAAAATGTAGCTATTGTTGATTTTAAAGTTTTGTTGACTTTTACATATATTTCATTTTACCGTGCAGTTTTTAAAATTTTTAAGTTCTAATTTGTATAATTTTTCAGTCTTAGTAAGGACCTTTCTGAAAACTATGTGCTTGAAAATTTCTTAATAAAAAATGATTTTGGTCATAACTAAAGGATGGTAGACTATGTGTGATTTTATTTCAATTTACTGTTTTCATTGAGTTCAAATATTAATGAGTTTTTATACTTTCTCATGCATCAGACAAACAAGCTGAAGACAGAGGCATGTTTAGAAGTCTTGCGTGAGGCTGGGGGTGAGTTAAGAATATTCATGTTGGACATATTGCATGTAAAAAGTGGGAAGGTGGTAAGTTAAACGCTGATAATTGCAAATAAAACTCCTGCAGCATTGCCACCCTTTTGCTGCAGTTTTCTTTGCAATATCAGCGTTTAACTTACCACCATCTCACTTTTAATACACACAAACGCTAGGCAGGAACCAACCCCTCCCCCCCCACACACCCCCATGTTGCATGTAGCCTATCAGGAAAGTACCTCCCAAGAAATGTGCAGTCTTTTTGTTAAAATGATTCATACCAACCATAAAACCAAAGAACTCTTTTTTTAACAGCTGAAAGGACTCAGATTGGCTTGTTAAAATAATTTATTACTAAGTTGGTATAGTGTAATACCTTTTGCCATGAATTCAGATTTTGTGTGAAGTTCCCTCCTTGCTTTATGAGCAAATCCAAGGTAATTGGGGAGGAGAATCTGTTATTTTATCAGTCAATTCACTTAGACCTTTTTTCTTCTCTTTCAGTCAATGTGGACGAATGGCTAAAGAGTGCTAATTCCTTGTCTCCTAATGACATAGAAGCTGGTAATAATTGGTTTCATTCCTTTTGTAGTAACTATATTCATGATATATAGTAAGGGCGCATTCGATTGATAATATTTCAGAATAAGAACAGGTAAAAATTTGAGGCAAATCTCTTCCACCAGAAATTTTTGAAACATTGGAATGCTGCATACATCTTGAATGTGACCATCAGCCAGTTTTCTGGACTTTACCACGCAGTGAAAGCAAAAGAAGTACGTTTATTTCATGCACTCCATAATATGGTCAACTGAACATTCCTTACGTTTTCTACTGCCAAATTTATGTTTATGTACAGTACTATAAGCTGCTGGTAGTTACTGAAGTCTGTCTAACATGCTACAACTCCTTCATGACAGACTCCATAAGCCAGAACTCATTCAATGATGACTTCGCTGACGATGACTGGGATGACCTGGATGACACGTTCACAGCAGATTACTCTTCAGATGAGGATTCCAGGAGCGTGTCATCAAACTGCTCTATCCCAGTCTCTTGTATTGCCTTGTACAATTTTGAGGTATGCATCCTTTAGCTGGCCTGTAAGTAACTGGAAATCACTTTAATAGCCTTGATGCATGATACCTGCCATCTTTGCATGCCCTTTAGGATTGATGATAAAAACCATGTGGCCTCTCAGGGGGCAAACAGGTGATAAAATTTGTTAATACGAGAAATCACAGTCGCGTTTGTTTATTCCCCCGAAATGAGACAGCAATTTTAGTCAAGTCAAATGTACAAACCAATTTTTGGACAAGTTTTGTGTCATTATTCTTTGCTCTGCCTATATGTATGGTTGTTATTGCATCCAGAAAAGAAACAAATATCACTTCCTCCTATAACTTGCTGTTATCATCGTTAAGATAAAAAGTTGTTCGATTTCTGTTGTCTAGAATAAAGATGATGGTTATCATGAATAATGTCTATTACGGCTACCTCCATGGTCTCCCTCAATTCTAGCTCAGCGGGTATTAAGGGGACCATTCCTGATGAGTAAAGCAAAAAATATACACCAGAGGCGCACTTTCCTTGGGGGAGGGAGTGGAGTGAGGAACTGATGGGCCCACTCTCCTTGGAAATGTGTTAAGAGCTAAGTTCTCTGAAACTTCATTCTCTTATTTGAAGACCTTTTTAGGCTAATATGCTGTTGTAAGCTATCGGCCTTCTGATTTTAAAATTTACCTTTTAAAGAGCCACAATATATTATTCTCAAAGACCCCTTATAAAATACAGTTGGAAGTATACCTTTTCCCTTCAAGTTTATTGTTTTAAATGTTTTCTTTCCATAATGCGTGGCAAATACAGGAAAGAAGACCACAACTTTTCATATTTTTTAAAACAACTTGTTTAAGTTTAGTAAACCTTGCAGGCAGTAAGAAATCACGCTTCAAGCATAAATTTTACTGGTTACTGCCTCATAACACGAGGAGCCGCAAGAGGTGATATTTTTGTACGGCATCTGGCGGCACATCAAAGAATTTGGAATTGAAGGGCAAATTCCTAGAATATCTTCGCCAGTTAAGCTAGAGAAAAGGTGTTTAAAAACCTCAGGATCCAAAACAACACGTCAATCAAAATATCACTTGGACCTTTTCGCTAATGAAGAGCTATCACGCGGCTAAGCTTGAATTAGACATATATTGAAATAGGAACTCGTGTCAATAAAGTATCTTAAGTGAGTGGGAATCGCTCCTAGTTAAAAAACTGGTTCACAGGGATATGCATCTCTTCTAGTTAAGAGAAGGGAATCAGAACTGCTTTTCATGCAGGAACAGGTTTTCTTCGGGCTAACTACAAAACTTCAGCTTATTTCACTCCTTGACATTGTCAAAGCGCATTTCTAAAGATAACTTTTTCCGCTTTATCAGCTTTTTTTATATTCTATTCCATTAATGTTTAACCTCCCTCAAAAAGCCAAATAATATAAATGCTGTTGTTAAATAAAGCGTTTTACCTGTTTTCGTGAATTCGCTACCCAAAGATCACTATGCTCAAAGGACAGGGCAAAATTTCGAGGAGAGAGGCATTAATTTTTTTTCCCACGAGGTTACAAAGAGAAAATGCAATGATTATTATTAATGTAACCATCAGGTATACTCTACCCACGAGGTTACGGACAGCAAATTCAGTGATTATTTTTAATGTAACCATCAGGTATGTTCTACCCACGAGGTTACAAACAGAAAATTCAATGATTATTATTAACGTAACCTTCAGGTATGTTCTACCCACGAGGTTACAGAGAGCAAATGCAGTGATTATTATTAAATGTAACCTTCAGATATATTCTACCCACGAGGTTACAAAGGGAAAATGCAATGATTATTATTAACGTAACCTTCAGGTATGTTCTACCCACGAGGTTACAGAGAGCAAAATAATGCAGTGATATTATTAATGTAACCATCAGGTATGTTCTACCCACGCGGTTACAAAGAGAAAGTGCAATGATTATTATTAATGTAACCTTCAGGTATGTTCTACCCACGAGGTTACAGAGAGCAAAAACAGTGATTATATTATTTTAAATGTAACCATCAGGTATGTTCTACCCACGAGGTTACAAAGAGAAAATGCAATGATTATTATTAACGTAACCTTCAGGTATGTTCTACCCACGAGGTTACAGAGAGCAAATGCAGTGATTATTATTAATGTAACCATCAGGTATGTTCTACCCACGAGGTTACAGAGAGCACGCAAATGCAGTAACAATTATTAGGTTTTAGTGCAACTATCAGGCTGAGTTTCTCCATTAAAAGAGTTTTTTGCTAGGGTTAAACAAGTTTGGCTTTCATGAGTTTCAAGGTGCAAGAAATTATCAGTATAATTATAGCACACAAACATTGTCATCTAATTCTTCGCACGTAACCGGAATAAGCCAAGAAATGAGGCATATAATTATAACGAAAAATCGTCCTCAGATGTTCTCCATATTAAGTAAATGATACTAAACGTTGCGAAAGAAATTATTGTTTGTATCCGTCCTATCCATCGTAAAAGCGAGGGGTCATCGCATGACATCCGGTATATTAAACAGAGGTAATACTCACGGGTTTCATGAGTTGTATGCACTATTTTTCGCTGAGAAACAAATTTAAACATCAATTCTTACCTTACAGTAGTCCGTTCTTTTACCTTGCATTTGACAACAAATCCGTTAAAGGCGAACAAAGCGATTCCGGCACTCTTTTTTATGATGAGTAGCAAGCCGCAGGAACTGAAGCCGCTTGACTGAAGTAAAATGCACCGATATGCGCGGCATTCTCACTACAAATATAAACAAACGTCGCGGAGAAAAAAAGACGAGGAGGAAAAAATGCCAGATCTTCGCCTCGGCAATGTATTCCAGCTACCACACCGGCGTATCTCCAGATGGAGGACTCGACGAGGGACAAACCTTGTGATCTTTTTTTAGAAGCCCTTTGCGCGCAAACTAATTTATTCTGGCGCGAAATGAAGAATATGTATACTGAAATCTAATCCACGACAAGAAGATTTTCGCACTGTAGCGCGACATATTAAATGCCTATTTTTACAAGTACGCGGAGAAAGTGGTCCACTAGTTTAACGTTTTTAAGATGAATTTATCCACAAAAGCAAAATGAAATGTTTTATCTCTATGTTGTTTACGTGCCTGATTAGAAGGCAGAAGTAAATTCATCATACAGACCCCATCAAAATGAAAGTACACGAATGAAACGGAATAAGTCTGGGACGGTTTAGTTTCTACTCGGCAGCTTCTTTGCTTTTATAACAAAAATTTAATGTTGCAGTCTGTTTTAAACGTTGGCATATCAATGCGCACAGTCACTGAATGAAAACAACAGTCACGATCACGTTCTTCGAAACCGACCAGACGCGTGTGACCTACCACTGTTATGTTAAGCAATTATCCTGAAGGTGTTAATGTTCCCGTGACAGTCTTCGCACTGAAGGCGTAAATGGTAAACCGAACGGTCGCTTTGATCATCAGAAAGACCTGTCAACTTTGATGATTTAACTGATTAAATTACGGGACAGAAATTTTACTGCTTGCGGCTCCTCGTGGAGAACACTGTTACCTGAGGGTGTCTTCCATGCTTTGTGCAGCCACGGTTTATTTAACTAGTGACTATTCTTAACAGGCAACAGACTCAGATGAGCTAACCATAACAGAGGGTGAAGAACTAGAAATCTTAGAAAGAGATGCTGAAGGATGGTGTAAGGTGAGTTGAACAATATTTACAGTTTTTCTAGTAAGGTCTTGTGGGAAATTCATATGAGAAGCAAGGATATTTGGCTATAACTGGCACACTTGTTTTTTCTTTCTCATTAATCTCTAGTAATCTCAGTAAGGTTTAAGAAACAACAGTCCAAATTCCCCAAGAAGTCCTAAGTATGCATTAATTACTAAAAACTGATGTTGTGTAAATGAAATTCACCTTTTTCCAAAACTAAAGGAGGCTGAATGTCAAAAATGTTCCCCTGGTGCAAGATAAAGTGCATCCAACTTATGATAACAGCTGTTTTGTCTGTTTTTTTGAGGACAAATTTGCAGCTGATGCATTTGGACTTTCGATCATTGTTGCTAGTTATTACTAGTTTATTAATTCTTAATTTGAGCAAGACCCTAGCCAATAAATTGTGGACATTTTATTTCAATAGGGTCGTAACAAAGGTGGCCAAGTGGGTTTTTTTCCAGAGTCTTATGTTGAAGTGGGATCAACGTCATCTGTTAGTACTCCAACAAGTTCCTACACTGATGGTCCTGCTCTTGGTTCGCCAGTCAGTGTCGCAAGTGTAGGACAAGCAACATCAGGATCAACAAAATACTGTGAGTTTGGCCAGATTGTCAGGCTTTTCTGGGGGGGTGGGGTGGGGGGAACCAGAGTGCAAATGAAGTCAGTTTTAAAGTTACAGCTTGTCTGTTGGGCTGGCTGTAGCTAGCAAGTACTAGCCCAAGAGTTGTTTTATTCAGCTCAAGAAAAAGTTTTGATGTGCGGGATCAAGCATGGTTTGTTTGTAGTATGAACACCCCTAAAAAATTTCAGTAGCCCTGAGCTACTGGACACAACTTTCTTCGCTTGCTGAGAACAGGGACTGAGAGCAGTGAAGAGGGGTCTCTTGCCCCCAGCCACTTTGTCCTTAACAATCTCCTTAACCCTATGGAATACCTGATATTAACTCTAAGCACAGCATAGTTAATGCAAATATGATTGGGGTGGAGGGGTCACCTCAGGTACAAAATCATTGGTCTTTCACTGTATTTAGGGCAAGAAGACAGGGGAGGGAAGCATGAACACCTTCAGGACCTCCACCAGATCTGATCTTAAATTCTCATTAATAATTAGTTATTTCTGCCGGCAGTAAAAATTATAATCTCCAGTAGGGGTGTGAGGGTGTGGTTTATGGTGAGGACATTCCAGTGGCTATTGGAAGATACACAGGTCTGTAGACCTTGGGAAAATTGATTTGGGCACCCATACTCAACAAAGTTATGTGTGGGGAGACTCCACCCTAATTTCCAATCCTTTACCCTTTTTATATACCATTTATCACAGAAGAGGTACCCCTTTTCTATATCTTCCATTAAAAATGTTACCTTTTCAAATACCAAGTTAAGAACACTGCATCTCTTTCTCATCTCTTTAATGAAGTGAACAGTTTTTTATGGTAATGTGGGAGAACATAAACAATTGAAAGGATATAACCATACACTGAAAGTGCATCTGAGCAAAAATATGTTTTAATAAAAGTCCCTTTAAAATATCAAAGTTCAATTGAATGACAGATTTCCCTACCCTTTGTAAACTTCATGTTGCAAAATCCCTTCCCTTTTATACACCTGAAGCCTTAAAAAGGTACCCTTTTCAAGTGGAGTCGTCCTGTATAGGTCTTAATTGGGAGTACACACCCACTCCCCTCCCCTCCCCACTAAGGCTAATGCAGCACAGCCCTGCTCAGGCCTGAGCCCTGCTATTACATGTATGTCAGACATGGAGGCCTATGGGAGATTTTTTTTTGCTGGCCTTAAACCACAGACTATTACCAGTAAATAATGATTGTCCAACTGAAGATGTACTGTTTTGCTTTTCAGTGTGTTATGTGAAGGCCCTTTATGACTATGAAGCTATGGGTGATGATGAAATATCTTTCAAAGAAGGAGACATTGTAGGGGTGATTTCAAAAGATGACAATGACATTGATGATGGCTTTTGGTATGGGGAATTCCAAGGCCAAAGAGGAGTTTTTTCATCATTGGTGGTAGAGGACATGCCAGGAGAATTTCCATCTACAGATACTAATATGAACATAACAGAGCCTTTACCAAGTTCCTCAAGAACCTCATCTTCCAATACTAGGGCCGGAGATTATATAACCATTCCAATAGACTACAGAGCGAATGGATCAGCATCATCATCATCAAACGCAATACAACCGGTTAGAAAAGCACCACCACCCCCTGCGGGTTCATCTCCGCAGATTCCACGGAGTACAACAATGGCATCAGGGGGAGCTGGCAGGGCATTGCTGCCTCCAGTTGAACGTCAAAGAGCAAGAACTGAGAATACAACGACCATGAGGAGACCAGACAGTGCATCTTTTGCAAGAAGTCTTTCTCAAAACACATCTCTTCAAGCAAAAATGTATGAGAATATAAACCAGTTGGCACCTACAGCATCAAAGCCTCCTGATTATGTTAATTTCACTGACCTATCGTCAAGGGTAAACGGTGCATCATCCCACTCAGCAACTGCTTCCTCTAGTGCGCCTCGACCTGCAGCAAGGTCACGTCGCCCAGCTCCACCACCTAAACCTCCCCCACCAACTGCTTCCAGCAGAACTACATTTAGGTCTTTATCTTATGTTTAAAACCTGTGCCTAAAACGGAGGTTATATAGTGCATCCCAGATTATAGGCAGGGTTGAGGGTAAAAATAAGCTCCTTTGTAGTTAAATCCAAATTTTTAGCTTGTTTTGTAATAATTACATGGCTGTACACAGGCTGCTCGAATGCTTAAAGATAATAACAAGAATCTTATGATGTCTTGTCTATCTCACCTTTAAGTCGATTTACCTTGAAGAGTTACAAGTATTCAATTACCTTGTATAGCTAAGTTAGGTTAACTCAAATTTTTATATTAAGTAAGTATTCTTTCTAGAGTAATGGCTACCTCTTATCACTGTTATGGTAGAAGCTGATACGATTGTTCGGCTAAAGAAGAATATTTTTTGCCCGTGGTAAGCTCTATTAATATTGTTCAAAAATATTGTAAATATAAAGTTTAATTGGCATCATGGCCTTCATTGTTGTTTTGGGACATCCATTTTAATAATTATTATTATTACTGTCAATAATATGGCCAACAAAGTTTTTCTTGTACATGTACATTAATTTGTTGATTATATCAGCAATGATCTGTATATCTTGCCATAGTAATATTACTCTCTTCTTGACTAGTCATCAGCTAAAGGATGTTGGCTTTGTTTGGAAAAATACCGACAGATCTAAAAACAGTGGTAATTGAAAGAAACTAGTTACAAGCACAGGGATAAAATCTTATTATGTATTTGATTATTATACAAGTGTTAGTGATAAACATGTTTCAATGTTATCTGTTCAGTTGTGTTATTCAGTTTCCTGTCACCTTAGGTTTCAATGCAAACAGCTTGCCAAAAATTTATTGTATAGATTCTATTGCTTTGCTCATTATTGTTGACTTAATTTTGTCATATTGTATGTTAAATTTAGACTTTTCTTAGTTAATGGTTTTCCAAAATCCTTTTCCATTTTTAGGTTATAATTGGACTAAGATTAGCTTGAATTTCATCTGATTACTTCGAGTCGTTATTACTCCCTCAGTAACGACATTGCTGAGAGGAGAAAACGACTTGAAGCAATCAAATGAAATTCAGGCTAGACTAAGATTTTTTTGATGTAAAATGAGGATTTAGCAGTGAGGTTTTGACAGAGTTTTATGGAGATAACGATAGGCCTGTTGACTTTTGATTGTGATACTCTGCATGATGTTTACAAAAAAAGTAATGTACTAGTTGTAATGGTAACCCTTGCATTCTAAAGAGATCTAATGAGAAGAGACTAATAATATATTGATGGGTTACCAAAAAAGAATGTTTTAGGTGAGTGGAATTTGTTTAAGGCCTAGAAAAAAGTCTCGAAATGTTTCTGCTCTAATACAAGTATGTGACAAAAAAAAATATTACAATGTTTCCTTAGAATTAAACAATGATACATAATTTATTTCATACAACTCCACTTATTTGATATATCAGTATTGTTGTTGTTGTTGTTATCATATTATCATTATTATTATTATTATTATTATGTCATTATGAAACCCACTATTAATTATTACTTAAAAACAAAATCTGAGGAGTTTGTAGGTTGATTCTCAGTTTCCTTTGTGTCTGAGGTCTAGCTGACAAGGAAATTGACAATGAAGTAATAATTACTTAATAGTGGGTTTCATAATGACATAATAATAATAATGATTATTATCATTATTATTATTATTATTATGAAAATGGATAGCTTTGGAAAACTGTTCACATTTTATCCTTAAAAGGTTTTAGTTTATCCAGTGCCAGCAGCTTGTTTGAAATATCAGCTGGTCTGATTATTCCTGCCTGGTCTGCAGTGTTTTCTCGCTAATGCTGAGAATTTGGATAGACTAAAATTTAAGGAAGTTCTTATAATTAACATGTATTTAAATAATCAAATCATTGTGTTAGCAAACTCAAAAATTAACTGTCACAGAAGTGCGCAGATGCAAACTGATATGAGAAATCCAAAATGGTTTTAGACTGTCAGAATTTATTTAATAAATGCGTATGCAATGTGATTAAAGGCTTTGAGCTCTTTGGGTACAGAAAACTCTAAAAGTCAAGTAACTAATTCATGACAAATTTTTTTTAATTGAAAATAATTCCCTTGTCTGGTAGATGAACTGTGAAATAAATAAATTTATCAGTTAAGTTGGAGTTGTCATTCTTCTTTTTTGCACTCAACGGCTACAATACTCGTCACACTTGTTGAAACACTTGCCATGTTCCGCCCTCCCCAATAAAAATAAGTATGTTGATTCATGTATCACCTATTTGCAAAATGTGCAAATCTCAACGTTGTGGAACATGAGAGGAAGTGCACTCAGGGAAAAGTTTAATAGGTTTGTTGAGAAGGTGTGACATGAAAAATCCTCAGTTTCAGCCTAGTGTTTTAACAAAATCTGACAAGTATGTAGGTTGCTTTGTGTCCTAGGTCTAGCTGACAAGGAAATTGACAATCAACCTAGAAACCAAACCGAAAAAAAATTTTTCTTGAGTAAAATATCGCAGCTACATTTGTGTATCATGTTACTGGTTTGTACTTCCAGATGAGTTCCTACAGATCTGAGTTGTTGTATACCAAGTTCCTACCATTCTCAAGTTACTACTGCCTTGAATCCGTGGACTTAAACTTTAAACAATGTAACTATTCATATTCTGGGAACTGAATTTCTTGTTTTAGATTGTTTGCTGTTGTTCTCTCATTTTCATCATCCTATATGTGGAGTTTTTATCACTGTTTGTTTTCTGTCCACAATTATCCTCACTCTTCTTTCATCAAAATTCTGTTTGACAACACTGTTTTCTGGAATGATTTGAATCTGCAAAAGAATGGATCAAAATTTAAAATCTCCTGTAAGTTTCTTATCCATGCAACATTCTTTTCCAAATGACTCCAACTTTATTATTATTATGATAACCCACAACTAAGTTTGATAATGAATGATTCACATTTGTCATTTCAAAATTTTTATTTTGAATATTTTTTAAGTTAGCTCTTTATTATTATTATTATTATTATCATTATTATTATTTCATTATTATTATTTTTTTGCATATACCACATTTCCTCTTGGTTGAGCCCCAAGCCTTGACTAGATAAGCCCCCTTCCAAAATAAAAAGACTAAATAAGCCCCCTAAAAGGTCAAAAACTAGAGAAGCCCCCTTCCCTGATAATGATGATGAGATGTACTTCATGCAAAAATTAATTGAAATGTTTGAGATAGACAGAAACTGGTCAGAACTATGTAAATAGAACTTCAGTTGTACATCCAAACCCTACTTTTTTTGCATTTATTTGTAAATTTATGAAGCCCCCTCTCTTCCACCACCCTGTGAGTGGACTCATACCCAGTCACTATTTATGTGTTTCTGGGGTGAGAGAAGATTGGGGTTAGGTTGAGGCATGGGGGGAAGGGAAGGGACCTAACCCCAATCCTCTCACCCCATAAACACATGAATCTAGTGACTGCATACCAATCTGCCCTGTGAGCAAAGGCTAGATTTTCCTGGTGTGAAAACCTCAAAAATGGTAGCCTCTGGTCACAAAGTATCCTTCCACAAATAGGCATCTCACTGGTCAACTTCTTATAAGTTTCCAGTCCCATGGCAAGAAATATGGTGTTGCAACGCAATACAGTCATTTCATGATTGAATAACATTTACTTTTAATCCTGGATGTTCTTTATCAATTATGGTTGTTGCTTCCTCAGCCCCCTGGGAAGAAAAGTATATAGTTGTGGAATTAATAATAATAATTATTTATTTTTTATTTTTATGTCCATTTTTTTTTCACTTATAAGCAATTTTGTTCCCAGAGTCCTCAGGGTTTTTGGTTGGCATGTTATCACTTTACAGCCAGTACATATTCTGGGTACAAGATTGCTTTTTAGCATTAATAAACTGTTTTTAATATTATTGGATTAAGGAGTGCTTACCATTTGTAAGGAAATTTCAGTAAAAAATTTCTGACAAATGGTACTGGACTTTAAAACGTTTTTGAAAGAGGAATGGGTTAGAGTTGTACCATTTGCAAAATACCAAATAACGGTTGGGCCTGGGTTAAAACAAAATGCACCTACCACCTCAAGAGGAAGTCTGGCTGCACTGGTTAACCAGACAAATGATACAAAAAATTTTGATCATTTCGGTAAAAATGTAGTACCTCGAAAGGTGTTGCTTTTATCCGGAAAACTTACATCGAGATGAACCATTCCATTTGAATTCTCCCCGGAATTACCGGGTTTTCCATACAAATGGTAAGCGCTCAAGGTTTGTTTAGCCTGCATAACAGTCACATGCTGATGTTCAGAATTATTTTCATTTTTCTTGTGATCAGAAATATAGGATATTACATGGCCTTGCGGAGATACGAAATTTCTCTTCGAGTGTTGAAAAATATTTCGCAAGTGAGCGCAGCGAACGAGTGAAATATTTTTTTTAACACGAGAAGAGACATTTCGTATCTCCAATCGGCCATGTAATTATGTTCTATTTATTATATAAACACCAATGAACTACCAAACCATTTCACTTTGATAGTTTTTTGGTGTGAAAGGAGCGATTTATTATAAAGCCATAGCAACGGTGATATTATTTTTCACATGTGAAGATAACATGTTATTTTCACATGTGAAGATATCAAGTTTTCGCGCGAAATGTCACCTGGTATTTCATTGGCGTTTATATAATAAAAGTCATTATCCCACAAATATTCTAATGTTTATACTTTTTACTTTGATATTGTTTCTTTAAGATCTTTTTATGCTTCATTTTTTTAGATTAAGGTTGATATATTTTTAGATTATTCAATTTATTCTGTTTATTATTTTCAAGTATTATCTTTAACTTTTACCAAACTGTAATGAAGTATAAAATGGCACAAGTAAATGACCACTTAAAGTCTCAATTAGTGACGTCACAAGCGCACCTGACATTTAACACTGGGAAGATATATTTAAATTAGCTACAGTATAAAGAATATTCACGATCGTTGTATAAAATTAACAAAAAATCTTTTGAATTACAAAGAAATAATCGGGATATAAGTTGAGCGTTCAACTACGAAAAGATACTATCCGTCCGATACTTTTTCTATCTCTCATTATAAACGGTCAATCAATCGTCGATAGAAGTGCTTTCCGATTTCTCTCAGCTTTAGAAGACTTTTATTTCCCATGTACGGTCAATCAATCATTGATACAACTGCTTTCCGACTTCTCAGGTTAAAAATCCGTTTATTTGATGCAACCAAATCCTTTGTAGAAAGATGATATAGGTGGTTGGAGCCTTGAAAGGAAACTGCATATTTTTCGGTGCAGTTGTGCTCCTATGAACACGACAAAGAAAATCTAAGCCATACCTTTCCTACCAGCTCTGGCCATTCCTTTTTGGGTATTTTTTCTGCCTTTTTCCATCTGAATAATTTCTGTCCTATCCCAGATATTTTAGACATTTTAAGTAAAATTTCCAAGGGAATTAAAACCCATAGCTGAAATGTAAATTTTGAGTCGCAATTGTAAACAGACGAGCCGATGTGAAGAAACTCGTTATCATGTCGAGGCGAAAGTTTGGCGGGAAATAACAGGATCCGGAAGTTTTTTGTTTTTTTTTTTAATTTTTTAATACTTTTTTGCAAGTTCGGTGTTTTGTTTGATAGCTCGATTACCGAGGCTATAAATGATTATTTGAGAAAATATATCCATGAAAAAATCGGGGAGAGAGAAAATATATAGCAACAGGACTCTTGACTGACTGACTGCCTGACAGAACAAAAATCTCCGGACCCCTCCCCCATCCATGCCTCCCACAAGCAGTCGGGTTTGTGCCCGTTTGTGCTTGTTTCACGAGGTGTCTGGTTACGAAGAGCACTATAAAGACTGAACGCCAGAGATATGTGAATCTCTTGCCAGCTACCATAAGCATATTGAACTTATGGATAACCCGAATTTCAGTGCAAGCTATCACCGATCCGGTAGCGAAGAAAAACTGGTTTATACAAAAATGAGCGACGACGGGGACGAGGACGATTTCGACAACGAGGAAGAAGACGAGGATGATGAAGATCTCAAAGAGGAGGAGTATGACTTCGCACAGGTTTCTATCCCCACCAAGCATATCCGCTTTGTAACTGATGCTTCTCTGAGCTCCTGGAGTGAGCCAGAAAAACACTGGGAGAAGACCAGTTGTTTAGGGTAAGTACTTGGCTAAATTTTCGACATATGCCGAAAGTTTAGCATTAAAAGTTGATATCTGTTCAATCGCGCGCGGCCGGCCATGCGTTTGATTTGTCAGCATATCAAGCTGAGTTGTGCTTGCAAGTCATTTCACTCTGTTCATGACCCGGCAAATTACATAGCCATTAACATTGACGGATTAACTTTAGAGCGCTAAACATGAATAGAATTTTACTGAGTTTAGGATTAATTTTTTCCTCTTGTACATATCCGCCTACCGGTCATGAAATTATCATATAAGTTCCACAATGAGTGATCGATACAATAACAAATTTTAGGGTCCTTGTACTTAGTAGTGAACAATTGGCTTGACCGTTATGTTTCAAGGTTGGCTAAAGCTTCAATTATTATATCATGAGGCGAAGAGTGTTCATCCACCATTTATCCAACATTCGGCTTTCAGTGTCTTATTCCTAATAACTTCAGATTTATATGTAAGTCCTTTGCACGTGTGCACTCGAGATGATATTGGACTCATCTTTGCTCAAATTTACGTCACACAAAGCACTTTTTAAAACAAATATTGGATATTGTTTCCCACACATTAAAAGTTTGAAAAACTTAGGCCTCTTTTAAACGTCATTCTACTGCTTTGTAAATTGGGCTCTCTGTAGCTCAACGCCAGTGCCCCAATGGCACAAAACAGTGCCCAATCCAGACCTTGAGATAAGGGGGGGGGGACCTGGTCATCCAAAGACCCTTAGATAAGGGGGGCTCTCCAAAAAAATTTTTTTCAGCCCTTCAGGCCTAAGTTTGGTCTTAAAATAAGGGTTGGGGGGGGGGGGGGTGGGCCCCTTCCCTACATCAACCACTGCAAAAGCACAACTTGGTTTCAGATCTTGAATTTTTTTGTTAGTCAAATTAAACAGCTTTTGTCAAAAATAACATACACGACATTTGACATGAAGGCTGTTTAGCGAAAGCTACTGCACGTAAAGGCAACGTGAGCAAAATAGTTGACTTTTGTGAAAGTGCTGTAAATTCACTAAAGCCCAAGACTGCCCCACATACGATTAGTGGTGGAGACCACTGGCCAGCATTGTCTCATGTTTAACCTCATTTAACGTTCATGAAACTCACCAATCACAGAGATGCCTCTTTTGGACTACCACTGGCCCCCCTCCCCCTCCCTGATATACACAATTTGACCCAGTCTTGGCGTTTTTTTAATTCTCTTTATTCTCCTTTTGTGTGACTTGTACTTTGCACTTACATGTATGTACAAAAATCCACCAGAGCAGCGAGCGTCCATAATAATGCCCAGCGTGCAGGCTGCCAGCAAATTTCTCTAACAGACAGTAAAAATGTTAGAACAGGTGACTGACAGCCCACGTCACAGACATAATCTAATCCTGGTTAGTAGTATCTGAGAAGCACTTCCAATATCCTTGTTCTGGGGCCCTAATGGACTCAACAAATTACTGGAAATGAGTGTTGAATATCCCTTTAACCTGCTTGGGAAATCAGCAATGGCTTTTATAACAGGCCAATCATGGTGCGTTTGTCTCAAATCTTGGTACACACAATCAGCCACAAAATTGTTGAGACATTGTACTCAAATAGGGTAACTTCAGAGAGCAAAAGAATCCACAGCCCTCCCCTGTCCCCTCCATGAAAAGTTGTGGTGTTTGTTGTTTTCTATAGGTAGCACCAACAGTGGCACAATATTGCATGGAGGGGATGGGGGAGGAAAAGCTATATTTTCCCCTTTTGAAGTCAGTCAAACATCAAAAAGCCCCTTTAGGGCGAAGTGTCTCAACTCATTTTGTCGCCCATTCCAGGTGGGGGCCCAGGATAGTGACTGCTGGCAGTTCTAAGAGGAAGCCCCAGAGGGCTGAGCTTCTAGGGGATATGGGAGTACACTCCTGTGGAATATTTTAAAATTTTACTCTTTGCGAGATTCAGATTCCTGCAATGTCGGGCCATGATACTTGTTCAGACCATTACCTTTTTATGCTTGAACCCAAAATGACTTGTTTAATGAATGCAAGAAGTGCTTTGTAATTTACTAAAAAAACAATCTCCCTTCCCTTGAACTTCCAAAAACATGCTTGTGTCCCCCATTTTTTTTACACTGTAACCGGATGGATTCATTCTTTGTAAGAAATTGTCTCCATTAGCTTATTTAACTTAAATTATATAAGAGACAAAACTAAGATTATGTTGAGATCCAACTGAGAAAATTTACAAAGTGTTATTCAAAGAACCAATTCACATTTAACCATAATGAATTGAGAGGTGAATATGGTCCTTTTAACATCACATGTATTGTATAGATTTGTAGTGTGAACAGGGGGTGATCTTATAACTCATAGCCAACAGAATTCTGTTGGTTGCCAGCTTCTTTTGGGAACCCTACCACTAGCTAAGGTGCTGCTTGAGCACATCTCTGATTGAGCCTCTGCAGTAAATCTGTGAGCCTTATTATTCTGACCCATTCTGACCTATTGAAACAGCTCACTTGAGCATTGGATTTTGTGTACTTTGTGCCAGGAGTAATAATACACAGTGTTGTTTAAATTTCACAGGAAATTTAGAGAAAATGTTAGGAAAATTGTGGAGCATTTCTTTTTCAGGTGAGGGAATTAAAAACAGTTCAATTGATAACATGAGCAAATCACTCTACAAGTGTAATTACAACAGTTACAATAACTTATAACCTTGTTTGGTGCATTATTTTATTTCAGAGTATTTAGTCTGCTGTTGGTTCTGGTGGACATTATTATTGTTATAGTAGACTTGGCAACTGCAGGAGAATCAGAAAAGGTAACATTGGAATGTACATGTATTTAAACTTGCTGTCAATTGAAAGGGTGTATGAAATAAAGCCTTATTTCTCTCTTTAGTTCACAAGAAAATACAAGATAATTTATGACAAGAATCAAGGAGTTTATCAGAAATCACATTCCTAAAATAGTAGTAATAATATTAGTTATAATGATAGTAATAGTAATAATAACATTGATAATGATGATGATGATGATGATGATGATGAGACAAGCATTAATGGACCAGCATTAATGCTGAGGTCTTTGTTGCAGAGTCTGGAGATTATTTCTGTGATAATAGTAACATATTTCTTGATGGAACTTCTGCTGAGAATGTATGCGTTAGGGTAAGTGAATCATCTAATTTAATAATGGTTTCAATCGAAGAGTACAGTGCCATCATTCTGTATCAAGTGTGATAAGGTACCATAAACAGCTGCATATGAGCCCCCCAAATTAAAAGTCCCCCCAGTCATAGGCCCATCTACCTGTAAACAAAAAATACATCCGATTATAAGCCTCCCCTTCCCCCCAGATGTAATCCCCCCTCCAAATTTATGGAAATTAATTCAGTTTATTATGACGTTTTGAAGTTCAATTTAGAAATCAGTACAATTAGCCCTCCTAAAACCCCTTACAGAGATGTACAAGCCCTGGGCTTTGAAGCGGCAGCTTACGGTAAACAGTCTAGGGAATTAAAAGGCAAGAGTCATCAAGTGTAGTCATCAAGTTGCTTGTTGCAGAACTTTAAACAAAGCATGGCTTGCTTACTAGCATTTTTACTGTTGTTTTTATTCTTTTGCTTGTTGCAGAACATCATTCTTTCATAGATGGCTGGAGATCGTAGACATGATTGTAGTCATTGCCTCATTTATTCTCACGCTTGTCTTCTCCTGGCTGACTTTACAGGAACATGGTTATGCCAAGTAAGCACTGCAGCTTAAAGAAGAAACAGTCTTAAGTACAAAGAACAATTCCCCCATAACTTAACATAGTTATTCTGCTTATCCTTGATTATGCCTGTTAGCATTTTACTCTAAGATGAGACCTTTGAGGAGTATTTACACACATGTAAACATTTAATAGAATTGAGAAGAAGTTATTTTTTACAAAAAACTTTACATATTAAAATAATCAAATATCAAAAGAGCCTCCTCATTTTATGTGGAGGAAACAGGTATATTTAAAGGTCAAAAATACACAGAATGTACAGTAAAAGTACCTATTTTATTTAAAAGTATTATTTTTAATCCAGAAATGTCAAGATAGTCACAGGTTTCTGCCAGAATTTGTGACGAAGTCAGCCAATGTCATTATTCTCCAATCCATCTGTTTTAGGCTTGTAGTTGCTGCTCGTTTTGTGCGTTTGCTGCTGTTTATAAGGATTGTTACTGGGAAAGATCAGCTAGAAAGAGCAACAAGAAGAATGGTAAGTAAGTCACAAGATGGAAATGTTTGAAACTGAAAAGTTTTTCCAAACCACTGATAGAGCTGAACAGGCTTAAGGCTGTGTGCAAACAGATAAGAATCCCCCAACTCCCAACATTGTTGCGCCAACAATGTTGGGAGTTGTTGCGTGTGTGTTGGCAGTGGTGTGCAAACGGATGAAACAACTCCCAACGATGTTGGGACCTGCAGTGCATTGTAGGAAGGATACAACCCATAAGTCTTTGTAAACCATGTGTAATGAGCATGTGTGGCCCGAACAATGTTGGAAGAGCTGTGCAAACGGATCCAACATTGTTGCGTCACGCTTCAGCGATCACGGAACAAAAGAAATGTTGGGAGTTGTTGGCTGAAAAGTTTGACCGGTATCAAACTTTGCGCAACAACATGCAACAGGGTGTGCAAACGGACACAAGATGTAACATCCAACAATTTTGGGAGTTGTTGGCTAGCAATGTTGCGTCCGTTTGCACGGGGCTTAAGTAACTTAAATGATGACTAAAAAACTTGGGAATAGTTTAGGAAAGACAAATCAGTGACTGCAGTTGACAGTGGGCAGACTATCTAGGACTTGGTGCCAGTTAGACTGCCATACACATTGATCAGGGCTCTTACGTGTATGGTTTGGCTGGCTTTCTGGTAGTTTAAAACATCAATCAACTGACTAATCAGTAATTCTAATTTGAGGCGCTGTCTTTGGAATACCAAACATACATTAATTGTTAATAGGTAGATCTTCCCAAGGCGTCTCTGAGGCACAATGATTGAACTTGAAAAAATAATTTGAATTTGAGATTGTCCTTTGGCCAAGCAGCACCCAAATTTTGACTGCCCTTCTAAGTTTATTTTTCAGTTTCAAAATGAATTGCTTGGGTCTTCACCCATCAACAAAGTGAACTTGAAAGGTTACTTGCCTGACACAAAATTTACTTGTCACAGATCAGAAATCTGTATGGGACTTTTTTTTATGCCTCGAGTTGAGGCAAACTATCTTACTAATCTATGTATTGTGTTTATGAGACATGGGAATGTATCCTGACACTCTCCTTGTCTCATTTGGAAGTGAGATCGGGCAGTGGGGTGCAATTTATAGAAGTACAAAAAAATTGTAATTCCTGGTGGGAAGTTGGAAACTTCACGTAAAAATAAGTAAATATAATGTTCAAAGTAAAATGGAAAGAAATGGTTTGTCTCTTTTGTTGTGGCTTGTAGATATCACAAAACAAGAGGAGATACCAAAAGGATGGTTTTGATCTAGATCTTACATATATCACAGGTAATGTTTTTTTTTAGAGAAAATAATGGATGTTTGCTGGTTTATAAGAAAAAAAAATGATTGGACTGTTGATTTATTTGGAAGTACAGTGGAACCCCGTTAATATGGGCCAAAACAAATTAGCCAAATTAATGGATGACCGTATTAATGAGGGTTTTTTTACAAGAAAATGTATTGCCGTTTTGCCAGGCAGCCAAAAAAGGGGCCAAATAACGAAGTGACCATACTGCTGTATTACCGCGGTGGCCATAAGGCATGGTTTCACTGTATTGCATGGACTCTAAGCATATGGCAATAACTAATCTTTTCATATATATTCCTGTTTCTTTGTTTGTTTGTTTGTTTCTTACAGAGAAAGTTATCGCTATGTCATTTCCATCCTCTGGGAAGCAGAAGATGTATCGAAATCCAATTTCTGTGAGTTTGTCAAGAATGTAACATACTTGCATGCATGTCTTGAGAAGGGCTCAATGAGCTAATCAAAGGCTAATTTGTTTTATTTTGTAGATGTTTAAGTTTACTTTAATCCCTTGACTTTTGCTCAATAATATTTATTTATTTATTCTGATAACGATTATCAGTACCCACAAATTAAGGCAAAGCTTAAACCACAACTCACATACATTAATTTTGATATCCTTACAAATTTGCCCATGGTACATGACGTAACTTCCATTTTATTATACCCCGCCCGGTTCTGTGAAAAATTCTTAGACTGTTCACTATGTAATGTCTGTACTTTACAGCATACTTAATAATACAACTGCTAATTGAGGTTCAAATGGTTTTAACTCGGTAGAGTAAAAGGTAGTATTCATTTAATCAACAGGAAGTTGTGCGGTTCCTAGACACCAAACATGAAAACCACTACAAAGTGTATAATTTATGCAGTAAGTTAAACTATCTTCTGCTTTCTGATCTTCAAGTTGGGTTTCAAATCAGTGTGTGGTACCTAACTGTATAGATGCAGCTTTTGTTCTGAAGTAGCCAATCAACCTTAATGTCACGTGATAATGTTACCCATATTTGAAAAATTCATGATCATCTGCTGTGGTGGGAAATTTCTCCCTTTCTTTAAGTCGCCAGGAAAGGACAACCCACTCCGCACCTGTTATAAATGTCACAATTTGGAGGGATTCCCCTGTTTAGGCAGTGTCTTGGAACTCCAGTTTTGAGTATTATTTTACTCAGTTCCTTGTACCTGTACCAGTCCTTGTTATGACTATTTTAGTACATGCATGAAGATTTCCCTTGCCCTTTATGTTAGGAGATTCCTATTTTAAAAGTCAAAAAGTGGGGGGGGGTTCAGGGAATACCTTCCTCCGAGGGAAATTGCTCTGTTCTTGTAATCTATAAGAGGTCACTTGTTGGAACTATAAATGTCAGGGATATTTTCCCTGCCCTTTTTTAGTAGAGGAATCCCCTAAGAGGGGATTCCCTGGTCCTTCACTAAAGTGGAATTACTCTTTTCCTGGAACCTGTACAAGTCCATTTATGACCTTGTTTCGTAGATTTGCCAATTTTAGGCCTTTCTGCTAAACTATTACCTTGCTACTGATCCATGTTATAAGGATTACACCTTTGTGGAATGTTGCCCTGTCCTGGTTGTCCGCAAAAAGTACCTGTCATTACCATGTTAGGGGAATCCCCTGGTCTTCCCTGTTAGGCTAACTTCTCTGGTTACCTAATATTTCCCAACGGACAACCCAGATGTCTACAAATGCCCTTGCTATGATTGTTTCTCTCAATACAATATTTTGTCATTGTATTAATTGATGTTCAGGTGAGAGAAGCTATGAGCCATCTATGTTTCATAACAGAGTGGAGAGAATTCCTATTGATGACCATAACGTCCCTAGACTAAGGTTAGAATCTGACTCGTCCCAAGTCATCTCTCTCTCTATCTCTCTCTATTGGCGCGTGACATGTGATGGAAAGGAGGAAAGCGAGGGAGAGAGAGTCTTCCTCTCTTCTCCCTTCTCATCACCCCTGCTTCTGTCATGCATGTTACGCGAGAAGACGACTGGGGAGAAGTCAGGGTTAGAATAACATTATTGTTATGTTTTATGCAGTTTTTACTTCAAACTTTAAAGTGACATTGTATGATAAGAGCAAGTCGGTTATAAGATTATTGTGACAAGGTCAATTAAAACCCTTTTTAAAACCTAATTGGCAGATTTTTCCTTGACAAAAGGTAACCTCTGCATCCCAAAAAGTTAACTCTAAATTTTCACTATTGAAGATACAAGTACATGTAAATTTAAGTTTTTCCTTAAATTAATATTGTCACATTAGGTTGTTGTTTAGTTCTGTCGTCATCTAATGAGAAGAGTAGCAGAAAGTCATTTGATAAGTTTTCAACGTTTGCTTTCCAGCCAGTTATTGTATTTTACTCACAATGTGAGAGAATGGCTTGATAGAGATCCAAAGAATGTCATTGCTGTACATTGTAAAGGAGGAAAAGGTGATTAATTTTAGTATTCTCTGCCATCATATTTCAATGACTCGGTACATTAAACTGTGTATTGTATTATTACATGTACTTTCCGTTAAAGGAGTTTAAAAAGTATCCCGCTAGTTAACAATGGCAGTTGTTGTCCAGAACAAACTTAGATTTTTCTACCTGGCAATTACATTATACGTTTTCATGCTTACTTACTCAGCAGGCAAGGGTCTAGGCAAGGTAGCTTCTAACTAAACTCATATCCTAAGACAAGAATGTTCAAATTTGTGTGTTTGTTGTCCTTTGCTGGATTCTAGCTTTTTTTTAAGTAGCAAGTTTTTTCATTATGCTTTATTTGTGGCCAGGGAAATGAATTGCCTGTAGCAATCACATTTATTTGCATTTACAAATTTGGTGTTCACTGTATTGAATTGTTATTCTTATTTTAGGTAGAACAGGCACTGCAATATGTTCGTGGCTTATTGCCAATGGACAGTTTGAACAAGCTCAGGTATTATTGAGTTCTATAGGTTTTTTTGTCTTTCTCTTTTTTTTTGGATGCTGTATAAACATTATTCCCTTGAAAAATGGTTACTTTTAAATGGTGGAAACCTGTATTTTAAACTGCAATTCATAATTTATAATTTGTTGTTGTTATCTCTTTGAGTTTTGTTTATCTTTGTCAGTACTATTATCACCTTTTATCACTGTTATTTCCTGGAGCTCCAACCTAGTTCTATCAGCGGGAATATCTCATGAAAATGTTTGGGTTTCCATTCTTTCACCACAATTATTTTAGAGTTAATTGATTGATCATTGGTGACTATTTTGATTGTCTTGGCATTTTCGTTCCTCTAGCATAGCTTGGAATATTTTGGACACAGAAGAACAGATTATTCAGTTGGGAATCAGTACCAAGGAGTACAAACACCCAGCCAGGTTTGTTTGTACTGGGTCAGCATTGTTATAACCATTTTTCATTTGTCAGCAGTGGGGTTTCTCACCCTGCATTTTTGATGAAACTGTTCTGGCCAAGATTAGTCCTTCAGTTTTATTTGGTTTCCTTGAAATTACTCAATGAGTTGTTTTTTAACTGTTATTTCTCTCTCCAGAGCCGTTTTGTAGGCTACCTTGAGCAAGTTTTCACCAAGTTAAATGGCCGTCTCCCCCCATCAATATCTTACCGCATTAAAAACATCAAGATAGATGGAATATCTGGTACGTAGACTGCCTGTACATTCTTTACAGTTAACAAGAAAGTTTTCTTTAAGACTTCAATACAGTAATGATAAAACACGAGGAACTTAATTGCTAAACGTTTGTGGTTTATCTTTTTATATCTTTTGTTTGCCATGAAGTTTTAGCTTTGCTTAACTGTAGTTCTAGTTAGGAGCTAAACTTGGCAGACAAGACGGTAACTGGTCAGGGGGGCTCTTTCTAAATAACCTCGTTACCAAGAAGGGAGAATTCAGCATTTTTAGTTGGTTAATGCTTTTCTTCAGGTCTTGGTGATGGCAATGGTAATGACATTTCATTTGAGATAATCATCAATGGCATTACAGTTTTTAAAATGGAGCTTGCAAGTTCACGTGATGGACAGGTAAGTAGCATATAATTACTCAGCCAAATATTATTATAATGTATAAGAAGAAAATTTCCCTTGAAGGGTTATTCTGTTCCCGATTGGTGTTTTACAATCCTATTGCTTCTCATGTATAAAGCACAATAGTGGAGGTGGACTAGTGACGTAGGATATAGTAGTGGATGTATTTGTATTGATATGTTTTGAATGCTGATACTTGGAACCTTTTACACAGATACAACATCTAAAAGAACTCGACAAACTTGTTATCATTCTATATGAAGCGGAATCCCCTACACTTACAGGAGACATTAAAATGAAGTTTTATTCATCCAATCCGGTAAGATGGCCTGATGTAACCCTCAACCTGATTTATGTTTTCAATGAGTTGTTGTTGGTTGGAACTTTTGGTTGGAGCTTTTTCTCCAGACCATTTTCCCAACATATTGTGTATTCCTCCCTCTACCAAAAAATTATGTTGCTTAACTGGTTTAATGAAATGGTTTAACTACACGATATTCTTGGTTTTGATTATTTAGAATGTTCCATGTGAATATGACAAGTGTGCCTTCTTCTTTTGGTTCCATACAAGTTTTGTTGAGAATAACAGGTAGGACTAATTCAGCTGAAAGTAGACAAACAGCACTGCTCAGGATATAAAAATAATACTGTCAGTGCAAAAGTTATGTTGAAGCAATTTATGTCTCTTTAATCTTTAAATAACATTTTTGTAATATATTGAATGTCTCTTTGTAAATGTTTTTTTTTGTGCAAAATAAGTAAACTGAAACTGAACTCCCCTCCCCATCCCCCTCCTTCTCTCTTTGTCTTTTTTATCCCCAAAGGTTCTTTGTGTTTAGATGCTTTAGAACGGAAGACTTCTACTGCCTTGTAGACTAGATCTAATGGAATTATTTAAACTGTTTCTTGCATTGATTCAAGTCATTGATAATACACAATCACATTATTAATGAAACAATTAGGAAGTTGTATATTTGTATAAGAATATTGTGCATACATTTTTTTGTTTCTCAAGAAGTTGAATTTTTGCAGGTTGTTTCTTCGTCGCGGCGAGTTGGATAATCCCCACAAACCCAAAACATGGAAGACATACCAGGAAAATTTTGGTGTAGATATTACATTTGCAAGACTTTGATTGAAACAAGCAAGATCACAATGACTTTAAGCCATTTTAATTCAGTCCCATTTTTTAGTGCCAATAATATTCATGAAACCCATTATCTTATCAGGGATCATACAGGGGGTAAATTTTGCAATATTGTTCCTTTTAGATTATATTTACAATGAAATGGCCCTGTATTTAAATTTTTGGACCACTATGGCTACTACAACAATCCTCTTGGGGTCTGATTTCTTTTGCCTGTTATTTTAACCCTTTAAGTCCCAATAGTGACCAACAACAATTTTCTCCTAACAATATCCATACACTGTCAAGAGATAAAGTTATGAGAATTGATAAAATGATCATCATAGAGAAAATTCCATGACCTTTTATCAAATTCTCTCAACTAATTCTTAAAGGAGATGTATAGAGATCAGTTTGGAGAATTTGTCAGTGGATATTGGGGCTTAAAGGGTTAATCCTCATTAGGGTTACAGCCTTTTGAACCGCTTTTACAGGTTTTGGCTCTGTCAATGAAAGAGAGAATTCTTTGATGGCAGAGTTTAACCAGGAAACTGATTTGAATCTGTCATAGCCCTCATGGCCATCCTTACACATACCTTGGTCATCAAAATGTTGAGCATTTCTCTAAAAAAAACCAAGCAATTTCAAAATGGCGAAAGGCTGGGCAAATACATTGTTAACAGATAAGTTATCCTTTTTCCCATTTTTTTTCTTTGATTTTATGGGAGGTCCCACAATCTCTAAACCTACCCACCCCCCAACCCCATTCACCACCTTTTTCTACCACCCTTTCCTGGTGGGTAGAATTTTTTAACAGGTCATTCAGAGTAAAACAGTTAAATAAAATATTTTCTTATCATTTAGCGAAGAGTGATATGCACAAGAAATTGTCCATGGACTCAACAGATAAAAGATTAGTTTTTTGAAAAAAGTAATAGTGAAGTAAAAAATAAATAAATATTAAAGAAAAACTTTGATACATGGCAACCTGCTCTTTTGCTGTACAGAGGTTCGTAGGGCTTGCAATCTGTTTGGTTTTTTTAATGTATAGCTGAGAGTGCACAAGGCATGTGTTGATTCTCAATTTCCTTTGCTCCCTAGCCCCAAGATGGACTCATTAATTAACAGATGGGGAAACAATATTATTGAACTGTTGTGTCGTAAGTATGTAGATGAGGTGATCGGGTCCAAGTTTTGTACCTGCCTAATAATTACGGCTAGGAGACAAAGGAAATTGAGGATTATACCAGGTGAAAAAAAATGAACCTTAATTTAATTTTGACCTGCAACATAAAATTCTTTCAGGAGTGCAGTTTGGAATAAACCATGATAAACCGTTTGGTTTCATGGTTCCTTTAACATTGTGATACACAAGACATATTAATAGTATATTTTTTATTCGAAGTTCAAGATAGCCTGTGAACAGACACCCCCCCCCCTCAAAAATAATCCTCTGTTTTTTTTTTTTTTTAGGGGGGTGGTGGCTGTACACAGGCTAAGTACAGTGGCTTTTTACAGGCGTGACCAAGGATTTGAACAGGGGACTACCAAGAACAAATCCAGCTAGCGTTCAGGGCGGGACTTGAACTTGGGGCCTCCAGATTACTAGTCCAGGACTCTAACCGCTCGGCCACACTGCCTTCTTAAAAAAAGCACAAACAGATAACAGGCCCTCTGGGGAAAACCCATGGGATGAGGTTGTGTTGTGTGTTGGCAGTAATTGTTATACTTTCGAGTGGAACACAATGAAGTGACCAACAAGCAAGCATACTCCACACATGTCCAATATACACAAACGGATACGATTCGTCAAACTGATGGTCCATTGGTACCAATGGTACGATTGGTACCAATGGAAAAGCACCCTATTCCAATGGTTCTATTGGTGAATATGCATCTCATTAAGGGGACTTAGATTATTTTCCCATGTGACCTAGTTGGGTACAGGGCAATTCCAATGGTCCATTGGTACCAATGGTGCGATTGGTACCAATGGAAAAGCACTCTATTCCAATGGTTCTATTGGTGAATATGCATCTCATTAAGGGGACTTAGATTATTTTCCCATGTGACCTAGTTGGGTATAGGGCAATTCCAATGGTCCATTGGTACCAATGGTGCGATTGGTACCAATGGAAAAGCACACTATTCCAATGGTTCTATTGGTGAATATGCATCTCATTAAGGGGACTTAGATTATTTTCCCATGTGAACTGGCTGGGTACAGGGCAATTCCAATGGTCCATTGGTACCAATGGTACGATTGGTACCAATGGAAAATGATGCCATTCCAATGGTTCTATTGGTGCAAAACAAGTTCACTTTTACACCAAGTAGAAACGCGCTAATAATTATCATGAACGTTCTTCCTTCTATAAGACAACCACGCAAAACAAGTTCGCTTTTACATCAAGTAAAAGCGCGCTATAATTCTTATGAATATTCCTCGTTCTATAAGCCAATCACGCAAAACAAGTTCGCGTTTACGCCAAGTAAAAGCGCGCTATAATTCTTATGAATATTCCTCGTTCTATAAGCCAACCATGCAAAGCAAAACAAGTTCGCTTTTACACCAAGTAAAAACGTGCTAATAATTATTACGAATATTCCTCGTGCTATAAGCCAACCACGCAAAACAAGTTCGCTTTTATAATTACACCAAGTAAAAACGCGCTAATAATTATTATGAATATTCCTCGTTCTATCAGCCAACCATGCAAAACAAGTTCGCTTTTACACCAAGTAAAGACGCGCTAATAATTATTATGAATATTCCTCGTTCTATCAGCCAACCATGCAAAACAAGTTCGCTTTTACACCAAGTAAAAACGCGCTAATAATTATTATGAATATTCCTCGTTCTTTAAGCCAACCACACAAAACCAGTTCGCTTTTACACCAAGTAAAAACGTGCTAATAATTATTATGAATATTCCTCATTCTATAAGACAACCACGCAAAACAAGTTCGCTTTTACACCAAGTAAAAACGCGCTAATAATTATTATGAATATTCCTTGTTCTATCAGCCAACCATGAAAACAAGTTCGCTTTTACACCAAGTAAAAACGCGCTAATAATTATTATGAATACTCCTCGTTCTATAAGCCAACCATGGAAAACAAGTTCGCTGTTACACCCTATAAGCCAACCACGCAAAAGAAGTTCGCTGTTACACCACAGTAAAAACGCGCCATAATTCTTATGAATATTCCTCGTTCTATAGGCTAACCACGCAAAACAAGTTCGCTTTCACACAAAGTAGAAACGCGCTAATAGTTACAAAGCGAGGGCGACCTATATATCTAGCGCTAATAATATCCCAAGGTGCTGCGAGTATAACAAACATCGTACGAACATTAAAATTGAAAGGTAACGCGTCACTGTCGTGTTCGTTCTGTTTATTGTGATTCACGAGCAAACAACAACATGACGTATGAATGTCTTCTTTCCTGTACGCAAGCACTATTTTTTGGTAATTCATACTTGTTTAAAAGAACCCGAAACAACGCGGAAAGGCGCGAAACTAGCAAAGTGGTATTGAGGCAACAGGTTTTAACAACTGTACTCAACTCACTGTGAAATTAACTTCTGAAATTTCTTAGCGCAATTTCATTATCTACATGGAAGCGTTTAAACCAAAACAAGTTTTCAATAAAGAGTGTCCGAAAAGGGTGGTTATATCATGCTGTTAGTTAGAGCGGTTTTCACTTGACTGTCGAAAGGGATTGGTTTTGGTTTTGTTTTACTACCCCCTTTGGTTGGCTAGTGTATTTACTTTGGTTTTGGTTTTACGACAGTCAAGTGAAAACCGCTCTATGACTTTGTATTGTATTTGGTGGCTCCTAAAAGAGCCGTTTTATATTCAAGTGACTGAAGTCACTTTTGACTGTTGACGTGGGGTTTGTCGTGGTAACCCATTGAGGTACAACAGTTTGCTATAATCAAGGTTGTAGTAAAACCATTGATGTCTTTTATAGTCAAGGTTGTCGTTGACAAATTGTATTTGCCGTGCTCTTTTCTCGGCTGTAGCTTGCGATGAGGCCCAGGACTGAGCTAGAAGAATCCGTCTACTGATGATTTCAGGATTGCACCCGTTGCCGTGGAAAAACAGCAGAAGTTTGAATGTCTCCTTATCACCCATAAACATATGAATCGATGGAGATTTTTATTTTTTATTGGATGCATACTCACCAATAGAACCACTGGAATGACATCATTTTCTATTGGTACCAATCGTTCCTTTCGTACCAATGGACCATTGGAATTGCCCTTTACCCAGCCAGACCACATGAGAAAATAATCTAACTCTCTTAATGAGATGTATTCCATTGGTACCAGTCGTACCATTGGTACCAATGGACCATCGGAATTGCCCTGTACCCAGCTAGACCACATGAGAAAATAATCTAAGTCCCCTTAATGAGATGCATATTCACCAATAGAACCATTGGAATAGGGTGCTTTTCCATTGGTACCAATCGTACCATTGGTACCAATGGACCATTGGAATTGCCCTGTACCCAGCCAGACCACATGAGAAAAGAATCTAAGTCCCCTTAATGAGATGCATATTCACCAATAGAACCATTGGAATAGGGTGCTTTTCTATTGGTACCAATCGTACCATTGGTACCAATGGACCATTGGAATTGCCCTGTACCCAGCCAGACCACACGAGAAAATAATCTAAGTTCCCTTAATGAGATGCATATTCACCAATACAACCATTGGAATAGGGTGCTTTTCTATTGGTACCAATCGTACCATTGGTACCAATGGACCATTGGAATTGCCCTGTACCCAGCCAGACCACATCTCAAAATAATCTAAGTCTCCTTAATGAGATGCATATTCACCAATAGAACCATTGGAATAGGATGCTTTTCCATTGGTACCAATCGTACCATTGGTACCAATGGACCATTGGAATTGCCCTATACCCAGCCAGACCACATGAGAAAATAATCTAACTCTCTTAATGAGATGCATTCCATTGGTACCAGTCGTACCATTGGTACCAATGGACCATCGGAATTGCCCTGTACCCAGCTAGACCACATGAGAAAATAATCTAAGTCCCCTTAATGAGAAGCATATTCACCAATAGAACCATTGGAATAGGGTGCTTTTCCATTGGTACCAATCGTACCATTGGTACCAATGGACCATTGGAATTGCCCTGTACCCTTGCCAGACCACACGAGAAAATAATCTAAGTCCCCTTAATGAGATGCATATTCACCAATAGAACCATTGGAATAGGGTGCTTTTCCATTGGTACCAATCGTACCATTGGTACCAATGGACCATTGGAATTGCCCTGTACCCAGCCAGACCACACGAGAAAATAATCTAAGTTCCCTTAATGAGATGCATATTCACCAATACAACCATTGGAATAGGGTGCTTTTCTATTGGTACCAATCGTACCATTGGTACCAATGGACCATTGGAATTGCCCTGTACCCAGCCAGACCACATCTCAAAATAATCTAAGTCTCCTTAATGAGATGCATATTCACCAATAGAACCATTGGAATAGGATGCTTTTCCATTGGTACCAATCGTACCATTGGTACCAATGGACCATTGGAATTGCCCTATACCCAGCCAGACCACATGAGAAAATAATCTAAGTCCCCTTAATGAGATGCATATTCACCAATAGAACCATTGGAATAGGGTGCTTTTCCATTGGTACCAATCGTACCATTGGTACCAATGGACCATTGGAATTGCCCTGTACCCAGCCAGACCACATGAGAAAAGAATCTAAGTCCCCTTAATGAGATGCATATTCACCAATAGAACCATTGGAATAGGGTGCTTTTCTATTGGTACCAATCGTACCATTGGTACCAATGGACCATTGGAATTGCCCTGTACCCAGCCAGACCACATGAGAAAAGAATCTAAGTCCCCTTAATGAGATGCATATTCACCAATAGAACCATTGGAATAGGGTGCTTTTCTATTGGTACCAATCGTACCATTGGTACCAATGGACCATTGGAATTGCCCTGTACCCAGCTAGACCACATGAGAAAAGAATCTAAGTCCCCTTAATGAGATGCATATTCACCAATAGAACCATTGAAATAGGGTGCTTTTCTATTGGTACCAATCGTACCATTGGTACCAATGGACCATTGGAATTGCCCCGTACCCAACTAGACCACATGAGAAAATAATCTAAGTCCCCTTAATGAGATGCATATTCACCAACAGAACCATTGGAATAGGGTGCTTTTCTATTGGTACCAATCGTACCATTGGTACCAATGGACCATTGGAATTGCCCTGTACCCAGCCAGACCACATGAGAAAAGAATCTAAGTCCCCTTAATGAGATGCATATTCACCAATAGAACCATTGGAATAGGGTGCTTTTCTATTGGTACCAATCGTACCATTGGTACCAATGGACCATTGGAATTGCCCTGTACCCAGCCAGAC